TCGCCATATCCAATCTTGTCCAAAAAGAACACCGAAGTAAGTTAAAATATAGTTTGTCTTATCTCTATAGACCCTTACTATATCAGAACTCCGTATCACTTATAATACCCAGATATAGATTTGTAAGTGCAACAAGTAAACATGTTAACATTTTGAAAATGTAACAAGATACAAAAAGTAGGGGAAAGTCGGTGAAAATACAGGGCCCTGATGATAATACTTTTATAGTGGTGTATATACTACACTATATATATATAAAATTACTGCAATTGTTATTCTATATTCTCATTTGTAAATTTTTTGGGAATCTTCTTCTAATTTCTCACTCCCACATTGCGTTTTTATTTCTGTTACATTGTCATCTCTACATACTGTCCTTACTGCTTGTAGAAAAAGAACATCGTTATTTGTTGACAATACGAAAATTGACAGACTTACCAACACCGCGTTATTGAATCTCAGAATCGTAACAGGCTCCTCGGTGAGGTATGCAGATCTAAGGTCAGTTATTGCTTAGTCTGATAAACTGCTAAACAATAATTCAGTCAAGCTGTAGAGGGGGTTTATTAAGAAACCTCGCAGTTAATAAAGAGTAAAAGTGCTTAAATGTACTAATACCCATGATTACTTATAAAATAACTTAAGCTGGACTTATTATACATTTAGTGGCATTAAAAAGTCTCCAACATGATTTAACTAAAATAATCCAGTCTTATTTGAAACACTATGCTGCAGTGGGACATACAGTGGGAACTGATGATGATGATGATTTTTTAGTATTTTATTATTTATTAGAATTCTTCTACTAAATTGAGTTCTACTATTAAATAAGTCTATAGGTTCTCAATGTTCATCCCAGTATTAGCGCCAGTTTACAGCACCAAAAAAGCGAAGTGTAAATAATAAAAAAATATCAGCTAACAATTAAAACGAAATGAGAAAATTTTATGTGGAGTAATCTCATAAATAATTTATAATAGATACCCCTGTTTAAAGTACTTTCAATGTTAAAATGAAGTGTTACCTAACTACACTAAAAGTAGTGAAAAGGAAAAAGCTACAATTTGTAATAAAAATGAGCAGAAAGAGGGAGGGGACATAAAGTCAGTTAAGATGCCTATAAAATTAACAATTTTTTAATGTATAATGTGATTTCTTCAACAACCATGGTTTCGATTTTAATTAATTCGTAATATTAAGGTTAAATTCGTATTCAAATTATGAAAACAATTATCGTACAGACTCTATTATTTCTGAATTATGATAATTGCTTTCGACGTCCTTGTTTAAACGGTAAAAACTATTTCGAAAAATTCAATGAGAAAACCAAAAATAGCAAAACTGAAACAATTTGTAATTCGAAACATTCAAGGTTAACACATTTTTATCAGGACATAAATGGAGCCCTTAAACAAATACAAAATGTCAACACCACCGAAGAAAGGACATTCCGGCAAATAAAAATGGTCGCACAGATTTATACGCTGATAAGCTTAGTCGAAATAAATTGTTATGACCTACATTAAGCGATTTTGGCTTATTAATTGTTTAAGAATTGAAATGAAAACGCGAGCGTTCGGAACGAAATTGGGTCAGATTTTGCCCAATTATTTATAGTTGCATTTTCCTGCAGAAATGAAATCTTAATCGACTGTGATTACGACAAACGAATTAAGTAGAAATTGTACATTCGACTGTGAATGGCAATAAATCTTGATATTATTTTTGTAATTCATTTGCCTAACAATTTGTCTTTCAGCTCATTCATTAAAGGAGCAATTGTTGGCATAGGTCCTGGCGCAGGAACGAAGCTGTGAATGATAATAGTGTTCGTTAAGTAAATTAAATGCAAGTTTTAAATATCGAACTTAAAATTTATTTTACTAATTTTTAAATCATTCTTAACAGTAAAAGACTACCCTCTGATCTTTATTTTATTACTTCATTTGCAGCCATACACTTAGATTCTCATATAATTTTATTTCAATCACTACACCAAAGCTTTATGTATAAGTTTGTCAATATGTATTTAAATTTTATTAAATCATAATTTAAAAAAAAAAATCAGTTACCAATTTTTCATCTAAATTGTGTGTTGAATTTACGCAAAATTTTCGGTATTTCTAAATTTCAAATACACTGAACATGTTTAAGAAATCCTCCGGTAGACGTAAATCACTGCGCAAGATGTCAACCAAAAGTAAACTTAGTCCTGACGTTGACACTGTTTTGGTACCACGCAATTCTCCGATAAATGCTGCACTGGGTCCACAACGAATTCCAAATACCAATGAACCAGTCTTTCCAACTAAATGTTGGCACTGTGAAAATATGGCAAAGAACTTTCTTTACCTAGAAAGTCTCATACGCGCCAATTTCAATGAGAAGTGCAAATGTCAGACTTGCAGTAACTCTCTAAAGTATCTGGAATTCGTTAATCGCAATATAAAGAAGTATTTTGGTAATTTCGATTCTATTGTTGAAGTTGCGAAGGCATTTCAGGGAGAAAGAACAGACGATTCTGAGGAACCCGTTGAAATTATAGTAAAGAAACCAGTTAAGTCTAAGAAAAGGGCCCGGAATAAGTCGGGGGAGAAGTCTACTAAGTCTACTAACGAAAATGTTGCCAGTAAGACAAAGAGTAAGAAAGAAGAAAAGAAATCATCTATCAAAAAATCGAAATCTATCAAAAAAGTGAATGTAAAAAATTCTACCTCTAAGGGAAAACCAAAAAAAAAAAATGTAACTCGCGTCGTGATTAAAACAGCTGTTCCCAACTCCAACACAACTATTCAACATTAAATTGACAAGCTTTATAAATGACGGTTGAGGGAAGTAACATCAACTGGCCAAAATGTTTCAAAAGAGCGAAGGAAATATTAGGAAATATGAGCTTGAATTTCCTCATAATTTAATAAGCGAGGTTTGCATTAAAAGTGAGTATACGGTTAAACTAATAACATTCCAAAAACTTGCCAAAAACTTGCAAGTGCAGACACAGAATGCATTTTTCATGAAATAAATTTATTTTAATAATTTTTCTTTTCTTAGACACTAACAAAATACATTTTAGCACAAACTTCAACTGATTTTCACCAAAAATAATTGATTGAACTAAGCCCTAAGTGACAAGGAAACAATTGCAATTACCTAAACAAGATATGATTATTTCAAAATCTTTTCGACATTTAATTTTATGCATACCACACGTGATAAGTTAAGTTGCTACTACAACGTTTGGAAAGCACTATATTAAGGAATCCAAAAACCACTATACCTTTACCAAAAACCACTAATAGTATTACTGTGAAATTATAAATTGAATACCTAAATGGAACATCTCTTAACTTTTTAACCAAGTACTGGGAGTAAATGCGTGGTTTATGTACTTATTAAAACGGAAGTGATTCAAATTGGACATGAAATTATATTAAAAATTACTAATCATTGTTAATTCTTTTAATTTGGACATAAATATATTTACTTATTCAACACAATTTATATATTTTTTTGGAACAAATTAAGTCTATGTTAATACATTCCATTCTACATGCATGTTTATCTGTAAGTTTCATCATACGATATATCAGATTCTCTATATCATATCATTAAAGCAATTTAATCGAATATAATCTTATATAAAAACTTTATCTTGGAGCAATCTAGTAGATATTATTTACAGGGAAACTAATTTATCGTTCTTCACTAAACGTCGTATCACAACAATGCTTAAGCTATCTCAAAGTATTAGTAGATGCCCTAGATGTTATCATTCAAACAACACAAAACCATCGAAAGTTAAAAATTTGGCATGTGCTATTTCTCTCGAACGTTGATAATCTACGCTTTCCTAGAGAAAAGTTGTGGCAAGAGTGTTGAGCTTATTTATGAGATCGATTACTAGATAAGTGCATTATGAATAGGTAGAACCTTCCAGAAATATGGTGGGTTCTACCTATATATTAGGACATCCTATCGCGCAAATCGAAGTTCACTTACAATATAAATAAAGTAGCATCGAAGTTGGTAGTCCAATTTCGAGAAATGGAAAAGTAAACAGAGAAATGGTTTTCTGCATATCACAGGTGTTCAAGGGACTTAAATGAGGTAAACAGCGCTTGTACCGCTCAATCTTTAGCGACAAATGTGATAACAGGCTTTTGAAAAATAAAGAAGCGTGATATCCAGTAATTGCCTGTTGCCACAACTGAACAATAATATCAGCGAAATTGCAGAACCATGATATCCCGAAGCGTTCAATATGTTTTTATCTTTAATCTGACATAAGTATTATTGGCGTTAAACGCAATAAGTAAAATTTATCGAGTTATCCCGGAGGCCCGTCTCCTAAGTTAATGTAGACAAATCAAGGCAAGTTCCAAAATTTATTAATTTCATTGGAAATCGAAGAAATTACTGATCTTGTTTCTTATCAATTGTAGGGTACCAGCAAATAAAATAAGCAGAAGTTTCTGTCTATATTTCAAAAAGTCGACAGGTATACCCTTAAGTTCTATTTTTGAAAAGTGGTGGTTAACAGAAACATGTACAGTTAAGAAACCAGTGATTTATTTGATTTCAAATCTATATAGACTGAAAAACTTGTCAGTTTTGTTGTTGACTCAACTAAGCTGATAGGACTACCTTGAGCCTTTACAACTGATCCAAGCATTTTTGAACAACATATATTTTATGTGTCTGAGTATTGATTTATTCTGACAGGCATATATTCAGATAAAAGATTTCGACTATTCCATTGCCATTCCATTGAAGTAATCGATTTTGCAGCTGATGTAAGGCATTGTATAAACATGTCATTTTGGAATATGAGAACGAATTTAGTTTGTCAGAAACTTGTTCCTTGTCGGAGTACCTTAGTGGGGTTACGAAGTGGCGAAGACAAAGCTTTAGACTAACAAGCCGTTTCATTGTCAGAGTTGCTGTAATAGATTCAAGCGGATTTGTATGATTTTAAGGCTGAAGTATTCACATTGTATCGCTAAATTTCTTGTTACAGTGTCTGAATTTTTAAATGGTCTGACCTTTGCTTTTTTATAATTTTGGTATATTTCTAATATCTTTAAGTAGAAGTTTCGTTAGTTTTTACATATCCTATCACTCTGCAGTTGATTTTACTGGGTTTAGCTTTATATTTCATATTAAGTCGAAGTTAACAAATAAAAATTCGAAAGTTTATAATTTAATTTCTTACTTTGAATACAAAAAAAAACTATTCTATATAGAGATTGTTCCAAATATTGCGTCTAAGAAAATACAACGAAAACATTGTGAAGGCTACTGATACTTTCATATATATAAACGAAAACAATAAAAAAGGTAAACTTCTTGTAAAGCTAATATATAATTATATCTTAAAAATATTTTTAAAGCGATTATATATATAAAACCGCGGATGTTAAAACGATTTAAAAGAAATTCAAGATATATTCATTTTTCACAGGGCAGGACCAAAACAGCAGGCTTTAAGAGCCTATGAAGAACAATTGAATTTATTGAATATCAAACGATCGTGTGATCTGCTAACGATTCCAGATTAACCTATAATATATAGGTTAAATCTGTTTTTTTTCTTTTTGTTTTTAAATATCTTTTTAGAATTGGTATTTTTCTTTAATTGATAAACCAAAATGGCCGATGATAAAGATGCAGAAAAGGTCCGCAAAGAAAAACTTCGTGAAAAAAATGAAAAACGTCAGGAGTTTCTGTGGAACTACATAATGAAGACAATGCGTTTGAAGCAGGAGAAGTGGAATAAAATGATAACGACAAATGAATTTAGGGTGGGTGAAAATATTTCTCTCATATATAATTAAAAACAAAATTTTTTTTAAAAAAAAACTTTTTTATGTATAATTTGACATTAAAATTCTGAATGATTATAAAACAGAATTTTATTCACATCATTTCAAATTATAAAACTGATTTTTAGTTTTATTGGCACATCACAACTGAACTCATAAAAATTAACAAGTTCCATAGAATTAGCCTGCTTAAAAGGTTTTCATTATTGTACATAAATACATATGCACTGTACATTGTTATGTAGTCATTTATTTATTTCAAAATATGCTAAATTGTGCCAAAAATTCCAATCATAACTGTTGGTTTACGGTTCTGTTTGCTTTTAATTACGTTGCGGTATTGGACACCTTTTGTGGGATGTGGTTTGGTTACTGCCTGTTTGACTCCATACAAAACTTTATTTCAAAATAGTTTTTATTGCCAAAGTTGACAGTGGCAGAATTGCCAAAATGCTTCAAATTTACATAACAATAACAGTATAACAAATATTATACAATGATCATTAAAATGATTTATTTTTATATCATTTGACACTATTTCCGTCGAATTCAACTTCATACTTCAGCTAATTATTGTATAGTTTAATTGCACTTCACAAAAAAATTGGAGTTAATAATTCAAAAAATAAAATATTAGTAAATATTATCAAAATCTTAATACAAACTTTGTAGGAGAGAAAAGAAGAGCACCTAAGAAATTGCAAAGACACTGCAACATCCTTGACAAAAATCAGTTAATTACATAAAAAATTTTAATACATAGAGCATTTTTTATAAATTTTCTTCTTCTTCGAATAGTGCACAAAAACCCCTCCACAATTCATTTTAGAACTACTCTGTAAAAGGCTCTGTTACATACTGCATTATAAGAGTATTGCGCAGAGTATAAGCACATTGTCGCTAATTCTTCAAGCCTTTGATGAGATTCCTGGGCAACACCTGCCCTGCTGATTTTATTCAAAGGTTTTCCGATCATTATGACTGCTTGACTCACGTAAAGTATTGCCCAGCTATTGTCATTTTTGTTTTCTGACTTGATATTCTATATCTGAATTGAATGCTTAATACTTCTAGTTTGTATATCCGTTTTGCTATATATCTATATATCTCGATATATCTTGCTAAACGTCTGAGGCAAATATTTATTCGTCTTTATAACAATTCCTTACATTTTTATGCTTTGCAGTCATATAGTAACGTCAATTTAACGTTACAATTAATCGAAGTCTCGTTTGAACAGCTATTTTACTGGATTTCCATATATGACTTAGAATGAAGAAACTAGGTTTTGTTTTGTACACAATATGAGTGCTGTTACAGTCTGCTAGGCTTCATTAACATGTATCGGGCTATATATGACATCTTGATAGAAAGATTTGTCAAAGCGCCGCTATATTCTCTAAACATTATAATTATTCCGTGGTGCATATTCCATAACCAGCCATTCATACATTTCTGTGTAGGCCACCTAACTAGATTACGTTGATGAGCTCTACTCGTCATCCGAATAATTCAGGTTTTCCAGATAACAGTAAAGTAGCTACTGAAGATCATCATGACTATCGAAAAATTCGGTATAATATCAAAGGCCAAAATAAATACTGTTGGATGCAGATTATAAATAGAGTTCATAATATCTTTTAAATGGCTTGCTCATATAATTTACTTTCACTCGTGACAACTCTGAGTATTTTAGAATCATCTACTGAATTTAAACTTTTTAATTCCAATCATATTCAATTGCAAGCAGCTCCTTTCTCAGGATATGTAATACCAGCTCTTCAAGAGTTTCTTTAAATTAATGTCCTTATTCATAGTTAGCTAATGAATCCATATTCAAACTAATAAAGAATTCTTAACTACATTAAAGAGCACAAAGTAATAATCAATTGAATGTGATTAGATATATAATTTATTTTCTATTTTAAATCATTTTATTCATATGTACATAAACTTTAAATTACTTTCAACTATTATAAGCAACTTTTTATAGTTTATTAGTTTAGGAAAACCCCAAAGACTCGAAATTTATAGTCGGACGAACGCATTGGGCAGAATGATATGGCATTTGCACCTGTGCATGATAATTTTATGAAAATTTTACGCGTTTCTATCTCTGAAAATAACATTTTACCAAATTTAAATGATAATACCTGCATTGTTGCATAAACCATTAAAATTGCATTGGTCACACATGTGTTCCAAATACAGATTTTACGAAATTCCATTGCAAACAATTTTAATTATTAAACCACAATTTTACTGTACAATAAATCACAACATAATTGCCTTAACATGAATTCTAAATGCGATAGAAATATTAAAATAGTCCTTTACGTTTTCCAGGATATTGTTAATGATTTCCTCAGTGATCCGTTTAACGAACGTATAATATTTTACTTGAATTCAGCATCCCTACTAGTGCCCAGTAACAGTTTTCCACTAAAGCCACGCAGTAAAATCGTCTATTTCATACGCACTGAGCTGCCCTCCGATTTGGAAGAGGAGGATATGAATGACAAAGTAAATTATAAATAATTATTTCATTATTATTTAGTCATTTAAAATTTATTAATTTATTAATTTTTTTCAATTAGCTAACGTATGGTGATGTTTTACATAATGTATTGGAAAACTTATCGGTGCTTTGTGACGAAGTCATCTTTCCGCTACTCAATAATCCAGCCAATCAAGATGGGTGGACTTCAGTTATTATTAATGATATGAAAACAGAAGCTCAGGACTTACGTAGTGGCATTGCACAAATGAAAGGACTTGTTATAAATCGCACCATACTCCCACTTCCGATTTGTATTGATGCTGTGATGGATGCAGCACCAAAAATTGCATTAGGGTAATTTCAAATTTTTACCTTATAAGGAATATATAATTGATTTCTTTTGTACGTTATTTTATCTGAAGTCCTACCGTTTTCCTATTTATAAATCTTTAATTCCATATATAAGTTTTCTATTCCAATTCTAATCATAATCTAAATGGATCACCATTTGGAATTTTATAATTCTATTTTTAATCATAAGCTTCTATATATAATCATCTTAAATCAAGAAATAATAGAAATCATGGAGAAAGCAAAAAATATTGTTATAGAAAATCAGTACTACAGCTTGAATATTATGTGTAGACGTTGCATAAACTGTAAGATACTTTTTAAAGTTTTAAAAAAAATTGTTTTTGCGTTATTTTTTAGTGATACATCAAAAATTAGTGATGTGGTAAAGCATTCCTTAGAGTTTATGGTTGTAAAATGGCTTGATTCGGTTGAAGATTTGGTTAACACGAAAGCAGATCAAAAAATTTTCAAAGGAGAGGAATATCCAAAACCAGAATCTTTATTTGCATTTTGGGATGCTCGTCTAGACAACTTGGAAAACTTGACAGATCAATTAGGTGACAAACGAATTAAAACTATTGGATTTGTTTTAGAAGCAATTAAATCAGTTTTTGAGACCACATTTCGAAAGATTGTAGAACTGGTTTTGGAAGCTTTAGAAGAGGCCAGGGATATCACTTGTTATTTAATGCCATTGGTAATTTATATAAAATAAAGTTTTATTTACTTTATATAATTTATAATATATTGTTCTTATAGAAAAAACTTATTGATAAATTTGAATCTGAGGATATGGATGAGAATCGAGAGAATATACGTCCTTTATTACTTACATTGGGCTTAGTATGGGGTTGGTCAAAATACTTTCATACCTTGGATAATATGACCTTAATGTTCAATTTGATGCATAATACAATTATTGAATGCTCTATACGCACAATTGAGCCTGACTCCATATTTCAAGGAGACATTGATGAAGCTTATCGAAAACTCACTTTAAATATAGAACACTTAGATTATTATAAGTAAGTTCATTGGCAAATCAAATTCAATGTGTGATAATAATACTAAAAAAAATTTTAGAAAAACGTACAATGATTGTCGTAGTTGCATTAAAATGTTCAAACTCAATACGAAATATAATTCCCAAGATTGGACATGGCATCCAAAGACCATATTCGAACGTTTTGATCGTTACATGGATCGCTTAAAACAATTACAAGATCTCTTTAACACTGGTCGAGATTTTACGAAGCTGGAAAAAGTAACCGTTGGCGGTTTAAAAGCACGTCAAATAAATTCTGCATTAGAGAAAATTTTAGAACAATACACGAACAACTATCGTGAATGGACCAACATTCAATATAATCCACTAGATCCTGATGCTGAGCATTCACTTTTTGATGCTGATTTTGCGGAATTTAATGCAAAAACCGATGACCTCGAACGAAAAATAGCATTTCAGTTTGAAAAAGCCCTTTGGGACTCACATGACTTAATGCTGTGTGGTACGTTACTTTTAAGGCCGATCATAAAAGAACAATTGGAACCTCATATGCATATACTGATAGATGACTTTGCCGAAGAGATCAAAGCGGTTAAAGTCGATTTCAATGAATTCAGGAGAGTATATCTAGCATCTGGATTCAAAGTAAGTTATTACAACTTAATATATATGTACTGAAACAATTATTTATAATTAGGGTTTATCTACGGATGGTTGCTTTCCTAAAGTCGCTGGTGCTATCTCCTTTTTGAGGAAACTGCGGCATAGAATAACTTGGATGTTTACCGACTATCAGCTTTATGAATTTCCGTACGTTAATTAAAATATTTTTAATTCTTAAATAATATATTTGAAACTTTAAATAATTATTATTAATTTAGTAATTAATATAATAAAATTTTAATAATTAAAATAAATATTTTATAATTTAAAGTATTTTCGATAACGATCATGGCCAACAGACCTTGCTTATCTACCAACAAATGCTGGATGAAATCGATGGTTTAATTGCAAAAATGCTTAAGGACTGGGAAGCATCTGTTGGAGCTAGCATTGATGAAGGCATCAATGAAACTCTCTTGAAAAGGGATGAAGACGGAAGAATTGTAGTTAACTTTACAGATGAACTAGAACTAACTTTAAAAAATATAAAAGTTTTACGTATAATGGAGTATGAAATACCGGAAGGAGTATTGGAGTTTGCAGCAAGAGCTGAAGAGTTCTGGGTATATAATAAATATGTGAAAAAAATTGTTAACAATATATACTTATATCTTAAATTTTTCAATATTCAATGTATTATTATTTCTCTCCAATATTTTCTAGTTAATTTTACTATGTAATCAACAATATATATATTTGTAACAATTTTACAATGAAATGTATTTAACACAATTTTTAAATATAATTTTTTCATGTAGGAAGCAAGAGTTAAACTTATGCGTATTGCCGAATGGTACAATGATATATACGATCGCGCTCAACCGGATGAAATGGCTCTAATAGAAGCAGAACTAAAAATATATGAAGCTTTGATGGAACCACTACTAGAGACTGTTACATGGGTATCATTCGGTTAGTTTATTTTGCTTTGAAAGCTTTAATACCTGTGATCATATAAATATTTTTTCTGTCCTAAGATCAAAGATACATAAATAGAAATCATCGTAAATTTGGTAATTTACATAAACGTCTTGTAAAGGCCCAAGGCAACTTAGATGAAATTAAACGTAGCATTAATTCTTGGGGAAAGGTTCCTTTATATCAACGCAAGGAGTTAAATCCTAAATTTTTGCTTGAAACGGATCCTCAAGAGGTAATTATGGCCAATCGTTCTGCAGAAGCACGAATAACACAAAAACTAATTGATTTATTAATGTATGAAAACTTGAAACTATTTCTTAATATTCCTAAACCTGATGATTTTATGAGTGATTTCGACGAAGAAGAGGAGGAAGAAGAAGAAGAGGAAACGCCTGCTAAGGAAGAAGACGACAAAAAGGGAAAAAAGAAGAAAAAAAAGGAGAAAGAAAAAGAGAAAGAAAAAGCAAAAGAGGTCAAAATAGAAGAACTATTAGCAATGGATTATGCATTGACTGATGAGGAACTTGAAGAGGAAGAGGAAGAAGAGAAGGTTAGAGATATCAATTTTGCTAAGCAAAATATATATTAAACTATTATATAATTTACAGATAATTACAATGCTCACCACATATGAATTACTCCAAACACTTTCTGAAGAAGAACGTGACCTATTTTATCAGTATCTACTTTATGTAGATGAAGTTATATGTGATGAATTGATGGACGCTGTTCTCACAAGCGTTTCATACGTTCGCATGGAAATTGACAATCGCTACGGGAATGATGCCCCAATTTTCGAAATCAGAATGGAATTACAGGAGCCAACAGTGTGTTATTTTTTAAACTTAGATGTTAATTCACCATATGGTTTCAATTTTCACGTTGAATCTTTATTGGAGGATATGGAGCTTATGAGTACAATGTTACAAAAAGTGGCGCAAGATCCACCAGAAGTGAATCCAGATATGGATGACTACAGAGGTATAAAGTCTAATTTCTTTTACGTATATGACTGTTGTTAACAACAAATTTTCTTTTAGATATCATACGCCAGAATGCAGAATTAGGTAGGCAAAAAACCGATATAATGAGCAAAGTGAAAATTGGTTTGCAAGCAATAAAAACATACACTAAAAAGTTTATGGACTTTGCATATATTTGGATTTGGGATAAGCAATTATACTTAGCGGAATGTAAAAAGTATGGACGTCCCCTAACTGTAGCAGAACGTGAAAGTGAGTTAGAAGGAAGAAATGATATGGGATTGAAACCACTAAAGGATGACCAAAACCCTCCATTGAGTATATATAAGGAGCAGGTAAAGTTAACACCAAAAATATATAAGACACACTTAAAGATAATTCAAATTTTAGCTTGATAAATTTATTGCTTTGGATGAAAAGATTCAGACATGGGAAAGTTACCATGATTTCAATGTTTGGTTACGCTTGAATTTAAAGGGCTTTAAGGGGGGCGTACTAAATGAAGTAGCCAAATGGATAAGTGTTTTCAAAACCGACCTTATTGACAGAGTTAAAAACTCATTAAAAGAACTTGAGGACTTTTGTGCCGAAGCAAATGATGCGATGAAAATTGAATTACAAAAAGATGACTTCGATGGACTTCTTAAAATTCTTTCTGTTCTTAACACAATTAACGAGAAACAATATTTTTATGATTCAATGTTCGATCCACTACGTGAAATTGTCGAAATGCTTAAAGGGTACAACTATGAGTTCAAGGACACAGTGATCGCACAGGTAACTTTATTGCAAAGAACTATTTAATTCAATGTTATTTAACCTGACAGTATTTTTAGTTAAACGAATTACCTGAAGTTTGGAATAAAGTCAAAAAACAAGCTGCCATTACCAAACAATTAATAGCACCCATTCAAAGCTATCAAGTCGACTTAATTGAAAAGCGCATCATATTATGCGATAACATGGCAAATACTTATCGAAAGAAGTTTCTTAAAAAGAAGGTATATATTCAATTAAATTCTTTTTTAATTGAAATAAACAACTTAAATAATTTTTAGTTTTTCCGTGCCAAATGTGAAAACCCATATGAACTTATCGATGAAGCTGATGCTGAAATTATAGTTTTAGAGGAACGTCAAAAACAGCTCAAAGAATCCGCTAATCTATTTTCGTTACAAGGTCCTGATCCATCCAAAATAGAACGATGCCGCCGTGACTTACAACTACTGAAAATTATGTGGGATTTTGCTATTACAATTTCATCAACTATTGATGATTGGAAACGCACACCTTGGAAACAAATTGATGTCGAGGGTTTAGATCAAGAATGTAAAAAATTCGGTAAGGAACTTCGCGGCTTAGATAAAGAGATGCGGGGCTGGGAGCCATACATTGCTGCTGAAGCCTCTTTAAAGAATCTTATGACTTCATTGCGTGCTATCACAGAACTGCAAAATCCAGCTATACGCGACCGTCACTGGGCAGAACTTGTGCAAACTACGCAAGTTAAATTTAAACTGGAACCTACTACAACTTTAAAAGAACTAATCGATTTGAACTTACACAACTTCGAAGAAGAAGTCAAAAATATTGTTGACAAATCTGTCAAAGAGCAAGCAATGGAAAAAATATTAAAAGACTTACAAAACACTTGGGCGACAATGGAATTCCAAAACGAAGTTCATGAACGATCAGGCTTGAAATTGTTAAAGGCAACAGAAGAAATGATCGAAACACTAGAAGATCATCAAGTACAGTTGCAAAATATGGCTTCATCCAAATACATAGGGTATTTCCAGCAGGAAGTTAACAGTTGGCAAATGAAACTTTCTAATGCAGATCAAATTATAGGTTCTTGGTTTGAAGTTCAACGAAAATGGCAATATTTGGAAAGCATATTCATTGGTTCAGAAGATATACGCTCACAGCTGCCAGAGGATTCAAAACGGTTTGATGGCATTGATCGGGACTTCAAACAACTTTTAAACCAAATGAATGCTGATCGCAATGTTGTTCGTTCAACGAATAGACCAGGCAGTAAGTTATACGATCAGCTTGAAGCTCTACTCAAGCAACTAATGTTGTGTGAAAAAGCATTAAATGATTATTTGGAAACTAAAAGGTTGGCATATCCCCGTTTCTATTTCGTTTCTTCTGCCGATTTATTAGATATATTGTCGAATGGCAACAACCCAAAGATGGTATGCAGACATCTAACTAAACTGTATGATTCGCTTGGAAAACTTAATTTTCTAGCGGGTACTAAAATGGGTATCGGTATGGTGGCTAAAGAACTCGAAGAGTTTGTTCCATTTTTACAGAATTGTGATTGCTCTGGGAAAGTGGAAGTTTGGCTCAATCGTGTCACTGACAAAATGCGAGAAACTCTACGGGATCAGTTTCGCCGAGCCGTCATTGCTTACGAAGGTAAAGCACGTCATGTGTGGATATTTGAATGGCCTGCACAACCTGCTTTAGTGTCAACTCAAATTTGGTGGACCACAGAAACTAATGAAGCTTTTTCCAAAGTACAGCAACGTTATGAAAATGCTATTAAAGACTTCAACAAAAAGCAAGTGACACAACTGAATAATCTCATTACACTGCTACTAAGTGATCTAACAGCTGCAGAACGACAAAAAATCATGACGGTGTGCACTATTGATGTGCACAGTCGTGACGTCGTTGCCAAGATCATAGCTCAAAAAGTGGAAGTCGCAACAGCATTTCAATGGCAAAGTCAGCTGCGTCATCGTTGGGATCAGAAGTACGATGACTGCTTTGCCAACATATGTGATGCACAGTTTAAGTACGATTACGAATATTTAGGTAATACACCACGTTTGGTTATTACTCCATTAACCGATCGTTGCTACATAACACTGACACAGTCGTTGCATTTAGTGATGGGTGGTGCACCGGCTGGACCAGCCGGTACAGGAAAAACTGAAACTACCAAGGATCTGGGTCGTGCTCTAGGAATGATGGTTTATGTATTTAACTGCTCAGAACAAATGGACTACAAATCTTGTGGTAACATACATAAGGGATTATCACAGACTGGCGCTTGGGGTTGTTTTGATGAATTTAATCGCATTTCAGTGGAAGTGCTATCTGTTGTGGCGGTACAAGTAAAGTGTATTCAAGATGCTATTAAGGTATGTAGTGTTTGCTTATATATGAAAGCAGGTTTTATATATTTGACAACTTATTATTGTAGGCTAAAAAAATAATGTTCAATTTTCTCGGGGAACTCATTGTTTTACGTCCAACCGTTGGTATGTTTATAACCATGAATCCTGGCTATGCCGGACGCGCAGAATTGCCAGAAAATCTAAAAGCTTTGTATCGTCCGTGTGCTATGGTTGTGCCTGATTTTGCATTGATTTGTGAAATTATGTTGGTTGCTGAAGGTTTCCAGGAGGCACGTTTATTAGCACGCAAATTTATTACACTTTATACGCTGTGCAAAGAATTATTGTCGAAACAGGATCACTACGATTGGGGCTTAAGAGCTATTAAATCCGTACTTGTCGTAGCAGGTGCCTTAAGGGTAAGTACTAAAGACTGTATTTGATTGCATTAACTGTACTTAATTTTTAAAATAACATCTTTCTTGAATAAAATGTTTTAATCAAACTACTTCTATTTTTTAAAGCGCGACGATCGTCAACGTCCCGAAGATCAAGTACTTATGCGTGCTCTACGTGATTTTAATATCCCAAAAATTGTAACAGATGATGTTCCAGTATTTATGGGTTTAATTGGAGACTTATTCCCCGCTTTAGATGTCCCGCGAAAACGTAATCCGGAATTTGAATCCACTATTAAGAAGTCCGCACTAGACTTACGACTACAGCCTGAAGATGGCTTCATACTAAAAATTGTACAGCTCGAAGAATTATTTGCAGTACGTCACTCTGTATTTATCATTGGTTTTGCTGGTACTGGTAAATCTGAAGTTTGGAAAACTTTAAATAAAACATATCAAAACCAAAAACGGAAGCCACATTATAATGATCTGAATCCTAAAGCTGTGACTAATGATGAACTGTTCGGTATAGTGAACCCATCTACAAGAGAGTGGAAAGATGGACTCTTTTCCATAATAATGCGTGATCAAGCTAACTTGGGTGGTACTGGTCCGAAGTGGATAGTTTTGGATGGTGACATCGATCCAATGTGGATTGAAAGTTTAAACACCGTAATGGATGATAATAAAGTATTGACATTGGCAAGTAATGAGCGCATCGCACTAACAAAAGAAATGCGACTTCTATTCGAAATTGCAAATCTAAGAACTGCAACACCGGCTACAGTTTCACGTGCTGGAATTTTGTATATTAATCCACAAGATTTAGGCTGGAGCCCATTTATCAGATCCTGGCTAAATACACGCACAAATCAAAGTGAAATGTCTACTTTAAATGTGCTTTTTGATAAATATATACCACCAATGCTAGATGTGTTTAGATTGCGGTTAAAAAAAATTACGCCCATATCCGATATAGCTATGCTGCAGATGACATGCTTCCTGCTCAATTGCATGTTGATACCACAAAATGTGCCTTCCGATTGTCCAAAAGATTGGTATGAGATTTATTTTGTTTTCTGTCTTATTTGGGGGTTCGGTTCAACATTATTTCAAGATCAAATTATCGATTGGCGTAATGAATTTAGTAAATGGTTTTCAAATGAATTCAAAACAGTGAAATTCCCTCCTGGCGGTAACATTTTCTCATATTACGTTGATCATGAAACAAAGGCTTTCTTGCCCTGGACAAATTTGGTTCCATCATTCGAGTTAGATCCTGATGTGCCACTACAATCCAATCTTGTACATACATCCGAAACTACACGTTTGCGTTATTTCGTGGATATATTAATTGCCGACGATCATCCAATTATGTTAATTGGTGCTGCCGGTTCTGGAAAAACTATTATAATGAATTTCAAATTAAACGCTTTACCAACAGATAAATATGCTATTACTAATGTACCATTTAACTTCTATACCACTTCGGAAATGTTACAACGTATTTTAGAGAAGCCACTTGAAAAGAAAGCTGGACGAAATTATGGACCACAAGGTAGCAAACGTATGCTATATTTCGTGGATGATATGAATATGCCAGAAGTGGATAAATACTATACAGTACAACCTCATACATTAATACGTCAGTTTATGGATTATCGTCATTGGTATGATCGCGTAAAAATGACTTTACGTGATATACATAACTGTCAATTTGTGTCCTGCATGAACCCATCGGCTGGCTCATTTACAATAAATCCTAGGTTGCAGAGGCATTTCTGCTCATTTGCTGTCAAGTAAGTTAATATTGTATCTGCAATAAAAGTGATGCGTAATATATATAAATATATACGTATATTATTCTATTTAATACTACAATTTTTTATTTGCAGTCAACCGAGTGCAGATGCCTTGTTCCATATTTTAAATTCAATATTATCACAACATTTGGATAATCATATACATAAATTCGACAAACATGTTAAAAATATGTGCGAAACCTTGGTGCTTACGGCAATTGCACTCCATCAAAAAGTTGCTGCCACATTTCTGCCAACTGCCATCAAATTTCATTACAATTTTAATTTACGTGATATTTCAAACATATTTACGGTAAATATATACAAACAAAATATAAAGAATAAAATAAGTTCAGAAAATATAACACATCCTTTGTCCTACATATATATAACCAGATTGTCTTGAAGTCTTGAAGAAAACTTTTTTGCACAATAACTTAACCTATTCTTCAAATAACATTATGTGTCCCCAACTAACCACAACTCATTCACTTAGCAACGAATTCAAATATCCTTTACTACACATAACCATACAGACATGTTTCATATAGACTCACTTTCATATAGTTACAATTGTACGAGTATCTATCTACTGGAGGTCTCTTATAATTGCTTGCCAATGCAAACTACCGCTATGACTACAGCAATTAACACAGTTATGTACCATACCTATACGACAGATACACTGAAGCTTCTTTTACTCTAACGCATCCAACTTATACACTGAAATATTCTGGAAATTTAATCAACCCTCTAGCAGATACCTTCCTAATCGTTTCTTATGGCAGCTCAGCTTATCTGCATTCCCTAACATGATATTTATTTTACTTAATTTATTTTTTTTATTTATATAATTTTATTACAGGGTGTTTTATATGCAAATCATGAGACTTGTCCAAATCAGAATCAACTTTTGCGCTTGTGGACACACGAATGCAACCGTGTGTATGGTGATAAATTAGTTGATCAGTCAGATATATCGACATACAATAAACTTATAATGGATATGGTACGTAAAGGTGTGGAAGGCTATACTGAGGATATTGTATTCAATAAGCCCCATATATACTGTCATTTCGCAAAAGGTTTATCAGACAGTAAATATATGTCCATATCAGATTGGGACCGTTTAAATAAACTGCTTGTTGAGGCACAAGAGCGATATAATGATTTTGTTGGTGCTATGAATTTGGTGCTGTTTGAAGACGCCATGTCACATGTGTGTCGCATTAGCCGTATAGTGGAGTCTACTCGAGGCTATGCTTTATTGATTGGTGTAGGCGGTTCTGGTAAGCAGTCACTTACTCGCTTAGCAGCCTTTATTGCCGGACTAGATGTATTTCAAATACAACTAACAAAGGATTATAGCGTTAATGATCTTAAATCTAATATTGCTACCTTGTATATGAAATGTGGCGTTAAAACTAGTCCTTGTTGCTTTTTAATGACTGATTCTGAAGTGGCCAGAGAACAATTCTTGGTTTTGGTTAATGATTTACTGGCATCCGGAGAAATACATGAACTGTTTCCAGATGATGAAATTGAGAACATTGTCAATGCAGTACGTAATGAAGTTAAGCAATTGGGTATTTATGATTCACGTGAAAATTGTTGGAAGTATTTTATTGAGAAGGTGCGGGGATTGTTAAAGGTAGTATTGTGCTTTTCCCCAGTAGGAACGACTTTGCGTGTACGTGCACGTAAATTTCCGTCACTAGTAAATTGCACAACTATTGATTGGTTCCACGAATGGCCTAAAAATGCTCTCGAGTCTGTATCGCAAAGATTCTTATCAGAAATACCCGTGCTACCCAAAGCTTTAGCAGCACCTATTTCAAAATTCATGGCCTATGTACATAAAACTGTTAACGATATATCGGTCACATATTTTCTTAACGACAAACGTTACAACTATACCACACCTAAATCTTTCTTAGAGCTGATTAGTTTGTTTAGCAAGCTATTAAGGGAAAAAGTAAAAGCCAATCAAGAAAGACGTACCCGTTTGGAAAATGGTCTTATTAAGTTGGCTAGCTGCTCAAAAGAAGTTGATCTTTTGCAAGACGTTTTAAAAGTGCAAGAAGTTGAACTGAAGAAGAAAAATCAAGAAGCAGATAATTTAATTATAGTGGTAGGTGCTGAAAACGAAAAAGTTTCCAAAGAACGCGCTTATGCTAGTAAAGAGGAAAAGAATGTACGTCAAATTGAAGAGGACGTAACTGCAAAGGCTAAAGTATGTGAAGAGGATTTTCGTAAAGCCATGCCAGCACTAATAGCCGCACAAGAAGCGCTGAACACCCTCAATAAAAACAATTTAACAGAATTGAAGTCCTTTGGTTCACCACCTGAGGCTGTTGTCAATGTATGTTCAGCAGTATTGGTTCTATTTGCACCAAAAGGCAAAATACCAAAAGATCGTAGCTGGAAAGCGTGTCGTGTAATTATGGGAAACGTTGACAAATTCCTTGGAGATTTAGTTAATTATGATAAAAAACATATACATCCTGATGTTATAAAGGCTTTAACGCCATATGTCAGTGATCCAGACTTCAACCCAGAAAAAATCATGTCAAAGTCAGCAGCTGCAGCTGGCTTGTGCTCGTGGGTTATAAATATTAATCGCTTCTATGAAGTGTACTTAATTGTCGAGCCCAAAGAAAGAGCACTTGCTGATGCTGAGCGTGAATTAAGAGAGGCACGAGAAAAGCTTCAATCCTTAAATGCACAACTGACTGAACTTGAAGAACAATTAAATGTATTACAAACGCAATATGATGAAGCTTTGGCTAGAAAACAAAAGTGTCAAGATGAAGCTGATAAAACAGCCTTTACCATTGATATAGCCAACAGATTGATCAATGGTTTAGCATCCGAGAAAATACGTTGGAATGATTCTGTACAAAAGTAATAAATACAATTATTTTTAAATGGTAATTTTATAACAGTTTGTATATACTTTCAGCCTTAAGACAAGTCAAATAACACTACCTGGAGATATACTTCTGATATCATGTTTTATATCGTATGTGGGTTGCTTTACTCGCAGTTATCGCGTTGAACTACAAAACAAAATGTGGAAACCAACCTTTAAAGCCAGTGAAGTAAGTATTTATCAAAGAGTTCTTTATATGGAATTTTGTCGATGTAAAAATGATAAAATTATATATATAACATCCTTAAAATAGTCACCTCCATTTAATTGTAGTATTCAACACAAAATTGTTCTTCTAGTAAAGAAGCTAGTCTAATATCCCAATGTACAATTCAATCATAGTATTGGCAGCCATTATCTAATAGATCGATTAGGAGCTTTGCTCAATGACAACTAACATAGATGTGTCTCTGAAAATCAGAAGTGTCTGTCCGATAACGCAAATACAGAAACTAAAATTGAACTTTCAAAGCAGCTTGCGTTTCTCGAAATTGTAGACTGGTAGTAAGCCCATGTGAATGCTCAAAATGAGCCTCGTATTCTTCCATCTACCATCAAGTGTCCTTCAATTCTTTTTATTTCACTTCAGAGATATCTAAGAAAATACGTAAATTTAACAGATTATATGACTGTTTTCTATGAAACTAAATTTTATATTGTCTTCTTACACAGTTGATACGATCTTATTTTGAATACTTTTACTTATTTATGGCGCACTCCACGTACTTATTATTTGAATTATTAGTTAAATGTGTCAGTTAATAATATTAACCACTGATTAATTATTTAGCCAAAAATTCCTTCAACTGAGGGCAGTGATCCATTTGACATGATTTGTGATGATGCTCAAATCGCTGAATGGAATAATCAAGGCCTGCCAAGTGATCGGATGTCTTCAGAAAACGCAGCAATTCTAGTACAGTCAGACCGTTATCCACTAATGATAGATCCGCAATTGTAAGCTATTTTAAAATCATAACAGGAATATCACACTCTGATCAGATACTAACTTTTTTTTTTGTAAATTATAACAGGCAAGGGATTAAGTGGGTCAAGCAGAAATACTCACACAATTTGGTGGTGTTACGTCTAACGCAGAAAGGTTATTTGGATAACATTGAAAAAGCCGTACGAAGTGGCAACGTATTATTAATTGAAAACATTGGTGAAAACGTAGACGCTGTACTTAATCCACTTTTGGGTCGTATGCTTATAAAGAAAGGCACTTGTTTAAAGCTAGGTGACAAAGAAATCGATTTCAATCCCAAATTTCGTTTAATATTACACACTAAACTGGCAAACCCACACTACAAACCTGAAATGCAAGCGCAATGTACGTTAATTAATTTTACTGTCACTCGTGATGGCTTAGAGGATCAACTTTTGGCCGAAGTAGTCAAAGCTGAACGTCCAGATTTGGAACAATTACGTACGCGCTTAACACAACAACAAAATCAGTATAAAATCACATTGAAATTTCTTGAAGATGATCTCTTGCAGCGTCTATCGTCCGCAGGTGAAAACGTTTTAGAGGACGTAACGCTTGTTATGAACTTAGAAAAAACTAAGAAAACTGCCGATGAAACTGAAATCAAAGTGGCTGAAGCTAAGGTTACTGCTGCTCAAATTGATGCCGCCCGTGAATCTTACCGTCCAGCTTCGGAGCGCGCTTCAATCATTTATTTTATACTAAATGATTTGTTTAAGATTAATCCAATCTATCAGTTTTCGTTAAAGGCATTCACTGTTGTATTTGCAAATGCCATGGCGCGTGCTGAACAAAGTGAAAAACTAAAGGAGCGTGTGGAAAATCTTATTGACTCCATTACTTATTGCAGTTTTATGTATACTTCACGTGGATTATTTGAACAGGACAAACTCATATTCCTTACACAGATGACTGTACAAATTCTGGTGAATGCAGGAGAAGTTGAGCCAAACGAACTAGATTTTCTACTACGTTTCCCCTACATGCCAAATGTCACATCCAACTTTTCATTTATTACAAATGTTGGTTGGGGTGGAATACGTGCTTTAAGTAATATTCCAGTCTTCAAGGGACTTGATAAAGATATTGAAGGATCCAATAAACGTTGGAAAAAATTCGTTGACTCAGAGTGTCCAGAGCGAGAAAAATTTCCAGGAGAATGGAAATCAAAGACTCCTGTTCAAAGACTTTGCATAATGAGATGCATACGTCCTGATCGCATGTCATACGCAGTTCAAGTTTTTATTGAGGAGCGGCTTGGCTCTAAATATATTGATGCACGCTCAGTAGATTTTGCTAAGACTTTTGAAGAGAGTTCACCCGAAACACATATATTTTTCGTTCTCTCTCCTGGTGTAGATCCGCTTAAAGATGTTGAAAAACTAGGCAAGCAACTGGGGTATACCGGTGATCATGAAAACTTTCATAGCGTCTCTCTGGGTCAGGGACAAGAAGTTGTTGCCGAAAATGCTATTGATGTGGCATCTGAGAAAGGCCATTGGGTTATTTTACAAAATATACATTTGGTTGCACGTTGGTTGCCAACATTAGAAAAGAAAATTGAAGCATCATTAATAAATGTACATCCCAATTATCGCTTGTTTCTAAGTGCGGAACCAGCTGCGGATCCAGCATTTCATATATTACCGCAAGGTATCCTCGAGTCGGCTATTAAAATTGTTAATGAACCTCCCACAGGCATGCAGGCAAACATACATAAAGCTTTAGATAATTTCAATGAAGAAACACTAGAAATGTGTTCGAAAGAAACCGAATTTAAGGCCATTTTGTTCTCACTTTGTTATTTTCATGCTGTTGTAGCTGAACGTCGTAAATTTGGTGCACAAGGTTGGAACCGTGTGTATCCATTTAATGTGGGTGATTTAACTATTTCTGTATATGTGCTTTACAATTATTTAGAAGCAAACAGCAGAGTACCTTGGGAAGACTTACGTTACCTGTTTGGTGAAATTATGTACGGTGGACATATAACTGATGATTGGGATCGTCGTTTATGCCGCACATATTTGGAAGAATTTATGAAACCAGAATTAATAGATGGTGAATTGGAGTACTGTCCAGGTTTTTCAGCACCTGGTATTTTGAAATATAATGGGTACCATGAATATATTGATGAAAATTTGCCTACTGAAAATCCAAACTTGTATGGATTACATTTAAATGCTGAAATTGGCTTTCTAACAACAGTGTCCGCACGCCTCTTTCGCATTGTATTCGAATTGCAGCCTCGTATGAGTGGTGGTGATACAGGAGGTGGAGAGTCAATGTCTCAAGATGACGTTGTTAAATCTATACTTGAGGACCTTTTAGACAAAGTGCCACAGCCATTCAATATACTCGAATTAATGGGTCGTGTAGAGGATCGTAATCCATATATTATCGTGGCATTCCAGGAATGTGAACGTATGAATATGCTTATGGGTGAAATTAAACGATCTCTGCATGAGTTGGAATTGGGTCTAAAAGGTGAATTGACGATTTCATCACATATGGAAACATTAATGCAAGCATTGTTTATGGATAGTGTTCCTGAACAATGGACCAAGTTAGCTTACCCTAGTTTATTGGGTCTACAATCATGGTTTGCGGATTTATTGTTACGCTTGCGTGAACTGGAAGGATGGGTTGCTGATTTTCGCATGCCCTCATCTGTTTGGTTAGGTGGATTCTTCAATCCACAAAGCTTCCTCACTGCCATTATGCAGCAAACAGCACGTAAAAATGAATGGCCACTTGATCGCATGTGCTTAAATTGTGATGTGACCAAAAAATACAAGGAAGAAATAAAGTAAGTAACAAAGAGAACGTAAACTTTTCCAATTTTTTGAGAACATAGATCGCACATAATACTTTATAATTTCAAAATACATTAGTAAAAATCCGTTTTAAAAAAAATTAATATACAGCTATTACTATAGATTAAAACAATATACACATCCTCTATTTATTTAGTTCCGCACCACGTGAAGGATCTTATGTTAATGGCTTGTATATGGAAGGAGCAAGATGGGATAGCAAATTCGGCACAATAGCTGATTCCTTCTTGAAGGAATTATTCCCCGCTATACCTGTCATTTACATAAAAGCCGTTACGCAAGATAAACAGGATACTAAAAACATTTATGAATGCCCGGTCTACAAAATTCGGTACGTATTATTATTATATTATTAAATTCATATTGTACATTCATTGGGCTAGCAAATGTTTAAGAAATGTTTATAAATATGTCTTGGATTACTTTTTATATGTAACAATAGATCGATTTTTTAAATACACACTTTAGCAAAAAAAACTCTCATTACTTAAAAACTAAGGGGTTTAAAAGATGGAAATATAATAATGTTTTTTTGAATTCTTCATTTTACTTTTTTTGCGATAATTTATCAGACTCCATAAGCGTAAATAAATCTTCTGATATATTTTTAGCATGCGAGGTCCCACCTTCGTATGGACTTTCAACCTTAAAACCAAGGAACGGGCATCTAAATGGACTTTGGCTGGCGTTTGCATATTACTGCAACCTTAATATATTTTGTATTGCTTTTTTATTGTTTTAATTTTTTCTATATTTTGTATTTCTTTATTAATTATTTATATTTTGTACTTTTTTTTTATTAATTATATTTCTACAACACAAACTTTCTTTATACAATTTAGTAAAAGCAAACTACATAAGAATTTTAATAGACTGAATACCTTTAACCCAACACATACTTTTGTATTCAAATTTATACTTATAAAAATGGACATTCAATCTCAAAACCAAGGAGAACCACTGCTTAAAAAGCTTCTAATATATTAACGGATCTTATGGATTTCAACCTCTAACTACTTCGTATGATTTATATAGGACAAAGTAAACAAAATAAATGAGAATTATAAATAAAATTAAAGCAATAAAGATAAATAATTAATATGTATTAAGACAAATATATTATTAAAAATTTTAAATGATCATTGGACTAGCATTTATTATCAGGTAAAGATTTTTTGATATACTTTTATTGTTATCTCGTGCAATATATTTCTGACGGATTAAGTAAATCAACAACAGTTTACACATTTACGTATTCACTCACTTTAATACTGAAAAATTTTGTTAACTGAGGAGATGGAAAACAAACCTTATAAATAAAACAGAATAAAAATATGTAGATAAATAGTTTGCAAGAAATAGAACCCAAACGGCTATTATAACGACATATATAATCGTTCTCCAACATTCGCTCTACTTATAACATATATCTGAAATTAAATATAAGTGAAGTTTTTATATATTACTGCTTTAGATATAAACAAGAGTTTGTAATAATACTTTTTGAAACCGATACTTTTTGAAACTAATACCTTTTTAATTTTTTTTGTTTAAAGTCTTTTTGTATTTAAAGTCACGTTCATTTACATCTGAAGTATCAAAAAATGGAGTACACATAATTAAATATTTTTTTGTTAAAATTATTTACTTCTTGAATATCAAAAAACTTTGTGGTATCAATTTATAGTATCAAAAAATGTGATACATCTGGATAAATATTTCAATTAGTTTAAGATAAAAACATTACAAATGCGATAATGTGTATGTGTTAAAGCAACAAATAATCCCTTCAAATTGCGGTTCTATAGCTGATTATAATAATGAAACTGTTTTTTGTGATCTTTAATATATTCCATTATATTATTTCTATAACATACTTGTATAAAAGTGATATATTATTCTTTTTCCACGTCCAAAATCTGATTGGCTAAGGTCACGAATAAACTTAACAGAACCAAAGCGACACTAAACGAGAGTACTTAGAGATAATAACAGCACACTTCCTTAGTATGTATATCTTTGATGAAACTTAGCAACTCAATACCAGTAAATCCGCTATGATCAATTTGACGCGTCGCTGTAGAGTTTTTAATCGCAGAAATTATTGTTCTCTCAACTGAAGAGTTTGAGGGACGTCAATTATTTAATCTCCTGAACATATTTAAATTTATTTCTTGTTATATTTTTGTTTAATTATCCCATAAATTTTAATAGCATTAATATTCTTATTGGTTAATAAATTCAAAGACACTGAAGTGATGTTCAAAAATATTTTTATTGAAACCTCAAACAATTTGACGCAATGATTGTGGTCAGCTTTGATTTGGACAGAAATAGTTGGTGTTGGCACTATGCTCCCAAATTTTGTCACTTTGTGGTTTTTTGTAAATTTAAGTAATTTATTCTGATGTTGAAAATCAAAACCAACAAATAAAACAAACATAGAAACGATATGAGCTGCTCTTTCAAAATGGCACATAAACGTTAGGCAAATGCTTTATGCTTTCCTTTTTTCCAAAGGATAACGTCAACAGTTAAAAATGAAATAGAATTTGAAAAATTTGTTTAATCCTTTTCCCGGTTTCCTCTCACAACATATTCGCAGCATTTTATTGTGTTCGTTTCGTGCATAATGCTGCACTAAATGCCATTCCATGGATCCGAATAAATCCATATAATTTTAATTGCACAACACAATTGTATGCAACATTAAGTACAACTAACGTTTATTGTTCACTGTGGTGTGGGTCCTTTGTTCCTTTACGATAAATGAGGGACTAAGTGGTGGATAGACATAGGACAGACTGACTGACAAGTGTGTGATGTTTTCATGTGTGCATTTTATGAACAACTTGACGCACTGCGAACATTTGTGGCTGTGCCATAAATATGCAACCGCAAAATGCAACACACCACACGAACCAGTCAGGAAATATGGCAGAAGTGGAACACAACTTGACTGGAATCCTTCAGTATAACACACTTTCTCGTATAGTTCGCAAAAAAATTTTTTAGAATAAATTTGAACTTGCGAAAATATAAAATGCCAAACATGCAAATGTACGAATATTGGCGAAATTTATGGCGGCTTTAACATTCTACATCAGTTAATAGTAGCGATAAATTTTTGCTTCTCCAAGTTTGTAGTCATATGCCATTGTAATTACGTTTATTAGATATCATAAATTTTCTTTAATAAATGAGAACAAAATTTGTGTTATATAGAATTAAATTCAAAAGTGTACACACTAATTTGCCTATAATACAAATGAGGCCTAATATTAAAATAGTAAAAGATACGAGGTCCTATGCTCCACTTAAGAGAGAAGGACAACAGTAAGTAAGTAAGAAAACTTTTGGTTTCTTTTTTAAAAAGTGCATTAATCTTTTGAATATGAAGTTCTTGCTATGAGAACTCGAATCTCTCAAAATATACTTTTTCATCCTCATTTAATTCAAATTTTCAATTTAAATTTTTACAGCAAATAGTACGACTTTATGTACAGAATATGAGGAATAAATAGTAATTTATAATAAAGACACCAAGCTACCCTAGCTTTGTTCAAGCTAACATACTGATTCTAGGTATCTACTTAGGCCAGCGTTACCGTACGAAACTCTGTATGTATCAAAGTTGTTAGTCTACTACATAGACTAACAACTTTCAAAAAACTTTTTATATGCTTTTCTCAAGTCACATTTATCAGCCTCTACTAGTTGACATTTTTTAATCAAGAACTTGTTGATTATTTCATCACCAATATTTATTTCAATTTCAATTTATCTAATTAAGCATCATAGAGAGAATCACTGATATGGTGATTAACAAATTATGGACTTATCGCGAAAACTGTGAGGTCGCTAGAACTTATGACATAGTTTGAAGAAAAATAAAACGAAAAGCCTTTTAATCTTCAGCAAACCAGCAGTTCGTGTACTTACTGAAGCACTAACGTGGCAGTGTGCGTTTGTGCCTATGCTCCAACATTGGATTACGCAGGAGTTACCAAGAAGACGAGGAGGAAGAATCCATCAACCACTTCCTGTGTCTCTGTCCAGGAATGTAAACAAAGCGACTTCAATATCTTCAGGATCAGTTTTTCACTGGCCTGGAAAAGATAACGAAAGCAAACTTATGCCTGCGAGTGAAAGTGCTGACAACTGTCAGCACGCGCCTTCTCAAAGTAACCCCATATAACCTTGACCCTTTCTTAAAGTGACTTCCCCATATACTCCATCATCATTGAAATTAGCAATTGAAAATTGTGTTAAGTCTCCATCATCAAACTTAGCTATTGCAATCTATTGCAGTGACTTCCAAATTAACTCCATAATCATTGAAGTTAGCTATTGCAATCTGGTCTAGTTCAGCACCTTCCTCCACAGTAAGATACCAATCAACTTCATCATCATTATGAACCTCCTCCATAATAAGATCGCAATAAACTCACACCCTTTCTCTACAGTGACTTAACGCTAAGAACGATTGATGAACTTGATTTCGTAATTCAGATATTCATGTTCTTAACATAAATCAGCTTTTGTTACATTCGGTCTTCACCCTTTTTCAAATGTGATGTCGTCGATTTATCTTAAAGATACAACTTAAATTTTTGCACATATATTCATTAACTTATTTACTCTAGAATTTAGTCAAAATAGTGTTTTAAAGCCATTCACCTAAAATAACATATAAAGCAGATATATGCCAAGTGTATGCGTTCTAAATTGATTTTTCTGCTATTATTAGAATTTCATCTATTTCCTTTGACACCATTTAGTTTCAGTTCTCCACTCAATAAATACGAACCTGTCAGACGCAAATATTGAGGTGTCAGCTCAAGTGCACCTAATAAAATCATTTGCATATTTATTTGACATTTATACCAAAATATTGGTCCATTGAAATGATAATAGTCTCATGGGTGTGTGTGATAAATGAAAATTATACATTTCACCATATATACAATTAAAGTTTACATATCTGTGCAGACGTGTAAACTCAAATTTATTTTAATTAAAATATCTTTATATCATTTTGACCTGGAATTTGCATTTGATAGTAAAGTTCAAAAGGGATTCAAGTTCTACAACCTTTTAAGTTAAACTTTTTATGCAGAATTTAAGTTTTCTCCAAAATCAGCGTTTTTCTTTGCTCGTATAGCTGCTCAGTTGTGTTGGATTCATAAGTTCACTCCTAACTTCTATACATATTTGATTGACTGAACGACTGACTTCCTGAATGAGTTACTAACTAACTTTCATGAAACTCTTTTGTTTAATTTTACTTTAATGCGCATTTTTAACGAATTTTTAATTTAAATTTGAAGTTTGATCGATATATTGAGAGGTGCTAAGCATAGGTGTAGCCTGTGGTAAATATGAGTGCAGCCACAGGGCATTCCCATGCAGCAGGAGCACACAATCGCATTAGGGGTCAATCCTTTAGTTTGAAGGATTTATTTGCTTATGTGTTGTGCTTATTGCAGGTGCTTGACGGATAAAAGAGTGCTGAATATTCGTTAAATAAATCTAATTATTAATTATATACGTAATTATAATTAATTGTGCTAATGCTTTAAGTATACTTGCGGCTTCAATAATGTCTGTTGATGAAGAAATATCTATTGCTGGTCGAAATGCAGAATTTAGTGATCCACGTTTGGATAGGGTATGTGCATTCACAATAACCACAATGCGTTTAAAACAGGATAAATGGCATAAAATGATGGTCACAGATGAATTTCGGGTGAGTTGGAGTAATGGCATTACTTGAGAATCCGTTACTTGGACTTCAATAATAATTAAAATAAACCACATTTTCCAGTGTTTAATAAACTGTAAATTGTATTATTTTTTATATAAAATTTAAAAATTAATTTATTGCAAAGCAATGAATAATATTTTTAATCAGTATTAAATGCAACTAACTATGATACATAATAATTGAAGTTATTATTTTTACTCATTTATATTATATTTAAAAGAATTACTAAGAACAAATAAGACAACTCTATTTCTATAATATCACAAAATTCCATTAAATAATTAATATCCTTTAAACGAGACCAATGCTATGAAATACAAAGAAATACTCAACCCAACTAATGGCATACTTTTGTCATTACAATTTTCCAGCACATTGTTTTGGATTGGCTAAATAATAACCAACGTCGAATACTAGTTATGACACTCAGTCCAGGCGGACATTTGATACCGAAAAATTCTATGAACGACTTGTATTTCAACTACGCCGTGCAACATACCACCAACACAGTAGCAACAACTTCAACAGCAGCGGCAACTTCGGAATTAGTGGAAGCGACAGCAATTACCACAGCAGCCGTGGCAGCAGCAACAGCCTTACTCATTCCCTTACCGCCACCTTCGAGTAGCTTCTCAACTTTGGATGGTGTACCACGCGGCAAATGTGCGTATTTTGCCCGTCGTCAATTGGGCGTACCACTGACAGTCACAAATTTCGGTACCGAAATTATGTATGGTGATTTTCCGGTGCACAGCAAAATTGAAACTTTAGCAATACTCTTCGATGATGTATTCCAACCAATGCTACAAAATCCATTCAATCGAAAATTATTACCAAAAATTGTTTGCAAGGATTTGGAGACGCGCATGAAAGACGTACGCAATACTCTGAATGAGGTTCGCAATATACTCAATATACTATATAATAGATATGTGCTATATGTTTGAAATATACATACATTCATAAGTTAATGTACGTTTTCCAAGCTTATCTATTGTATATTTATGTGCATAATTATTTGTGTATCTTTTATAAACTAACATTAATCTAATTGCCTGTAACTGTGTATCTTAATTGTGCACGCAGTCTTTTGTCTATTCTTCCTAATTGGCAAAACTTTTCCAATTGTTTCTTGTTTACTTTTTCATGTTTCTTTTGTTGTTATTTATTTATATTTTCTTTTTTGCAATTCCAATTATACGCTTCACCCACAACACTACTTATCGCTTTTAGTATAAATTTTGGACTGTTTCAATAAAGTTCTTTGCCACATCCAAATAAACGTTGATGAACTTAATTTCTCATCTATAAAAAATATTATTTTCAATTGAAATTAATTTTTCGTTCTCTAATAATTTTTACCATAGATAATTTTTTCTTTACACTTAACAGATAAAAGGTAAAACCAATAATCGCACTATTTTATCCTTATTGATTTCACCGACAGTGATTGAAGAAGTCACAGCAGAAGTTCAACAAGGGTAAGCCTTTATCAATAACAACAAGTAATCATTCACTTTTTTGTTAGTCACTATCATAACACATCATAGACTATAAAAAATCACAGATCTGTCTTATACAACAAAAACTAAAATATTATACCATTACTGCGTAAGGATTACCGGTTAACAAAGAAGGTGACCGCTCATTAGCAATATCAGATTCTTAGCGAACACCCCGGTATTACATTATGGTTATGTATTATTTATCAAAATAAAATGAAATTTCCGAATGTATGGATGTACATTCTTTGTTTCAACTTTTTTCTTTATGTAAATATTGCCCAAAGCAGAATATTTTAATATTGCAAAAAGAATACCGTCAGCTCACATTTCATCAACCCTTCCTTCAGCTACGTGTGACCAGAAAAAGATGAAGTTTCATAAAGCTTTGATCTTACCAAATATATCAAACCTTAATCAGATAACAACCACAAAGACACAGTTTGTCTATACAAAATCATATATTCTAAAAGTTCAGCGGTCGACATAGAAGGGAAAAGAAAATTTAATTTTCTCTCACCAGATCTATTGAAAGGAAGAATAGCTTTGAAATGCATTTATTAATTTTAACTGCGATAACTGCAGAAATATTATCCGGCGTATTGCGAACCTATTAAATGAAAATCAGATGAAATCAAGATTAAGGAGAAACTACATTAATATTAAAAACTTACCACCTCAACTTCAGTATTGAATATACATACATAACGAATATTTTTATTTTTTATTTCTATCTATAACTCTGTCTTCTAAAATTTTTGCCATGGATTCTACTTTTAGCTTGAAGGTAACTCACCTTTATTATATCCAACATCTTCCTTGATTCTTATTAATCTGTTTACACTTACTTAAAAGTTAGGTTTAAAAAATGCTTACTTGCTTACTTACTTAGCCATTACAAATATAATTCGCCCTTGACCGCTTCCAGGAGACTGCTTCAGCCAGCTCGATCAGTACTTTACTATTTCCGGCCTATAGTATCGAATGGCTTCATATCGTTTGTCATCTGGGCATTTCTTGGATATTGCAAATATCCTCTACGAAGTTTTTCACCAGCGAGTACCGAATCAAACACTTTTCTAGTTGAAACATATTCTTCCATTCATACGATATAACCAAGCCAGTATCTAGTTCGATAATCGTTACTAAATCGTACGGGACAATAGATATGCTTTTCATCACTGTTGGTTATTCCCCAAACTCTTATACCGTACGCCAGAACAAGTATTATAAGGACTTCTAAAACGAGATTGATGTTTTACTGTCGCTAGAGCGATTTATTTCTTAATCTAGATTAATCTTTAAACGTTGTTGCTCAGACATCTTGAATGCTTCTGCTCCTTAGAGCTGCTTCAAAGTGCTTGAATTCATTATTACAAGATCAGCAATTAATGCTGTTGCGTATATAGTGTGGCTTTAGAATGTGTGAATAATACTTTTCTCAAGTGGTCCACACACGAAATGAGTAACGTATGTATTTGTTTATATTATGTATTCTTCTTCTTAGTATCCATTTCCCCTAGTGGGGCATAGAGCCGCATAGTATGTATGCGACACATCAATTGGTAAGAATGATTCTTTACTCAATATCTAAAGTGAACACATTTTCGAAGCTTATTCTGTCTCCCAAGTAAACTAAATAAACAATATCTTTCACAGTTCCGAACTTATACTCAGGAGATTTATTAGTTGACAGAAAGTATTTTGATTTTTTCGCACTTACCACAAAACCCCTTAAAGGGCTTCAACTTGCTGAATATTAAATCTACAAAAATCGTCTGTCTATTCTTAAGTACTAATTTGAGATATCGGTCCTATATACACCGTTGGCAGTAATGTTTTTTTATAACTCATTCTATAAGCAGAGGCTTTCAAAAAATCAAAAAGTATATGGATTTAATTTGTATAATGTAATAGATATGTATGAATATTAAATCTACAAAAATCATCTGTCTATTCTTAAGTACTAATTTGAGATATCCGTTCTATATACACCGTTGGCAGTAATTTTATTTATAACTCATTCTACAAGCAGAGGCTTTCAAAAAATCAAAAAGTATTTGGATTTAATTTGTATAATAGATATGTATGAATATTAAATCTACAAAAATCATCTATCTATTCTTAAGTGATAATTTGAGATATCGGTCCTATATACACCGTTGGCAGTAATTTTATTTATAACTCATTCTCAGTACATGAACTTATTGAACTGAAGTCACAAGCAAAGGCTTTTGGTGTTTTCCACCTTTCAAAAATTAAAAAAGTATAGAGATTTAATGTATATAATAGATATGTAGACTAAACCAAAAACATGGAAAATTTTATAGAGCAGGCAAAAAAAACAACAATGCTATCATTTTTCACTAATTTTAATCTTACTAAAATCTTTTGTTTCTGTTTGGCATTTAAGTGACGATGTGGGCGTTTGAGTTTCTGTCTATGAGTACACAAAACTGAATGAGAAAGCGGAAATTTCGAACTTTTTTGCATGAATCTGCAAAATTTTATCTTCCGCGCCCAACTTTTTATGCATAAATAAAAGTTAATAAACTCGTATAATTTTTTCTATTTTTTTTTACATAAATTCTTTTAGAGCTGAAGTTTACAAAAATTTGGTTGTAACTATTTGTAGTGCAAAAAAAAAACTTTAATAATGAGTAGCTTAAAGTGATTCAGGCTAAAATCAATTGATTGCGTAAAAAAGCAGTACTGAAAAGTATTAAAAAATTCCATTTAAAAAATTTAATTTAAAGATACTCGATTATTCTTTTTCTATGGAAAATATTAAAAGCGGAAAATTTAATTTCTACAAATTTTAACATAAATTCGCTATAAATTTCAGCAAAGTAAACACTTCCTCATAAATTTCAGCTTAACTTATTTTTTGTACTCGTAATACATAATAAAAAGGATTGAAATAAAGTTTCAGCTCTTGTCACATTGCATCCATGCGACCATGAACCTCAGCGTTTAGTGCAACTGCAGGAATTTTAAGTGGCCCTGCCAGTGGTTGGGTTGAGCTGAGCTGACTAAGAAAAAAGTTCTGAAAATTCTTAAATGCGAATTACGAAATACAAAATTCTGATGTGAATATAAGCAGAAATGTAAATTTAACTAACACAACCACACAATTTAACTTTTACGCAAACTTGCGTAACTCTTGTATAAATGCCGGAAATTAAATAAAAACCTCAAATCATACTTGCACATAACATTTTCCTTTTATTTAACAAAAAAAAGCTAAGGACTACTGCAATAGAAAATTTAATATCAAAAGTTTACTCAAAACCACCAAAAAGGAATTCCATAGTATTAAATACAATTTTTATCCTTAAATATGTAAGTACGTATAAGTAGGAGTAGTTGCAGTGCAATGTAAAGAGAACCTCATTTTTTGTCTATTTATGTTTGATATGAACTTTTAGGTACAAAAACTTAAAGAAAGCGCTTAAACTTAAAAATTTTTGTCTTTAAATAAAGTTAAAAAGTGCAAAAAAATACATATTGTAATTAAAAATAAAAACTCTGTGTAGGACTTGAACTTAAGTACTAACTTAAGCTCGTTTAGCTGTCAACTGAACTTCGGCTTCAACAGCAAGCTCTTCTGATGGATTTAGACTTCACACTCTAAAAGACTTCACATCTCTAAAAGAGTAAGCAAAACACCATCTTTAAAATTAAACTATATTCTGAACACTCTTTCCAGTATCACTTGTAGTTTTATATCTCCGCTACTTGATCACAACTTCTTTAATCAACACTACCACAAAAGAGATTGAACTTGTGCACAGTGATTCTAAGCAAGTGCCTTAAGAGTTAAGATGAATGTGAAATTGAACCTAAAATTATGCTTCCAAATAACGGATTATTGCAAAGTTTTTTTATCGAAAGTAGCTACCATTCATCTTATTAATCAATAGTTAAAGTATTAACTTTTTTGGTGATTACCAAGCTTCGATTATATCGACTACACGCTTATAATTTCACAGTAACTCAACTTTCATCGATGTGTCGTATATATTTAATTGAAATATCGAGACAGTCAATGGTGAAACAAAGCTGAGTCAAGCAATTACAAAGCCAAAATATTGACCTGAAATAGTGCATTACATTATTTACCTTTAATGTGGGTATTCTTTCAATTTCAGTTACAATATATTTTGAACACGCAAACCAAAAATGACAAAAAGATCAGCCTAAGCTCCACCTAGAATATCGTCCCCTACACTGAGGGACGCTTTGCTGGTTAATGCCCACCATAACTGCCTTACTGACGGAAGACTGTCTCCTGAATACGCGTAGCAACCGATTAGGTCTCCTTTAGTTAATCCTTAAGTTTTGGGATTATGTACAAAATTTATTGTATTGATGAATCAAAAATAACACAAAAGCAGACTTGTCAAAGTAAACGTATGCTATCGTCGACCAAGAATCACGAAAGAACTGGTTAACTATTTAGTCTTTGCTCGTGGCTGTCCAATACAATGGTCGTAACATCAGGAATACTGACTATCTCATGGGTGCGAATAGCTACCGATAAAGGCTGCTTCCAATTAATACTATTATATCTATGCGTATTATTTTATTTTGCTCTGTTACTGTCTGAAACTTGTTAAAAGATATATATATTCACCATAAAGCCTCTTCTCTTGAAATCTCTTTCTAATATCATCAATATAAGCTGTAAAGAGATTTTACATTTTATTAATGTGAAATAAAGCGAGTTCCACGGGTTTATTTATCTGAAACTTATAACTGTCATGTGACAATCGTACCGCTCTCAGTTATCTATGAGACAGAAATGAAAAGTTTCAATATGATTATTTTAGCAAATCTTTATACTTTATTCTTTTTTAACATTAAAGAGTCGTAGTGACAAAGATTAAACAACCCTGCGACTCACTTTCTAGAGGTTCACTCTAAGCTTAGAAAAGGTTTCCTTAAAGTGCTTTTTAACTTGTATTAAAAGTTTCGGATAGTCATAAACCTTTCGACTGTTTTAGAATAGTGGAATGGAATAATAAGCTCTTATCGATCCTTAAAAGAACACTACGGCCAAACCAAACCTATTTAAAGATTTATGCTTTATATATGCAATTAGATTAGTTATCTTAAATTCTAGTAATTTCAAAAGTCTTTTGATTGTGAAAATATGTATATGTTGGTAGTATGTAGTAGTATATTTATTTCACCTGACAAAACCATACTTTCCTTCATCCAATCACTAAATATTTATTAAGCATAATTCTTTTTACTTAGAATGTACGTCGTAATTAAATAGAAAAGAAAAGAAATGAAAGAAAGAAGAAAAAAGGAAAAACAAGAAATTACGAAACTTCCTTTACAAGACATCTTAACTTTCTAATCAACTAAAAACACTACAGTTTCTGAACGAACAAATCAAAGCAATTCATGTATGCACTAGAAAATACAAAACCATACTAAATCATTGAATTTTCTCCAAGCACAGGGAATAGTCGTAGGAAGTGAATAGATTCCATTCAGAGAAACTTTTGTAAACTTTCAGCAATTTATCAACCGCAATGGAATTGAAATTTCGTAACGTACTCGAAGAAATGTTCATCAATTGGACAACACAAATTCATGAGATAATCTATGAGAAGTCTGAATGCGTTGCTGCCACACAAACAAGCAACATTGGTGTCGCAACGAGATTAAATGCTGCAAGTGGCAACAACAAAATCACAATTGTTTCATTGCCAACGCATGAAATCACATTCTGGTCTAATCGCAAATTAAATCTACAAGATATATACGAACAGTTGCGTGCACCAACGCACAAGTCACTCGCCTACATACTGGAGAGTATTGACTCGGCTTATTATGCTTGCTACACAAGGATATTCAAGGAGCTTGTAAGTGCTTGGCACGAAGCAGAAGATAACTCATTGTGGCTTCAGCCATTGTTAAGGCAGACAGCCACCTTTAATGCAGTAAATTTTATCAATGCACAAGAACTGATAGCACCACTGGTCCATGTATTGCATTTAGTTTGGATAAACGCACGTTATTATCGCACGACACAGCGTATGACTGTACTTCTACGTTCCATATGCAATTTACTAGTACATCGCGCCACTGAGGATTTGGAGATTTCAATATTATTCCGCGCTGATGCTGATGATGGTCTAATGAAAATAAGCAAAACTATTGAAGTGCTAGAGTCTTTCAAGTGAGTGGAACTCATGCGAAAATATGATTTTTTGAAATGCATTTCTTTTTTTGAAATAATTTTAGAGAAAAAATGCTGATGTATAAGGAAAAATATGCAAGCAATCAGACGATTCTACCCGCATTGCCTGCAACTGCCCTAGTAGCAGCACAAAATTTAGTAGACAGCACTTTGACTTTGCCCATACGTAATTATAAGCAGCAATTGTGGCGATTTTCGAATGAGGATGTTTTTGGACAGTCACTCAATGGTTTTCTGGCCCAGCTCGAGGACATGCGAAAAATTTTTGAGGCTGCAGTTACTTTTCAAAATTTGGAAAAATTGGAAATTGGGGGCTTACGCGGCAAAATACTTACAGAACGTGTAAAGCAGGTGCAGTGACTGTAAATAAATATATTTATAAGCAATAGGGTAACGAAACGGACCCATAATTAGTCTACGTAGAGTTCGTCTTAGAGTTACCCTCAAACTTAGCTACTCATATTTATTATAATTGACATGAATCTACTTATTATTATACTATTATGTATGTATATTTATTATTAATATAAATTATTATTTAATATTATAGACTTATAACGACTTTAAGTTACTTTTTGAGGAGTGGAATAATGTTGATATTGATTTCACGGAACAAAAGATGCAAAACTTGAAAAAAAACTCTTTTAAACAAAGGCAGCGCATTTTCTTTATACGCATGGAAGTGCTGGAAAGAAAATTGGCGACAATATTGATAAATGCATTTCAAGACTGTAATAATTGGGAGCAATTAATAAAGGTAATACACTTATGAAAAATTACTATATCAAGTAAATCAATTTTCAGTGCAGAAACTGTAATTTTCGAATTCTATACACCTTAACATTTTAGCTCCTTGCAAACAGTTCCTTTATTTATTACCACTAAGCAATTCAATTAAAATTAAATTAAACTTACTTTTAGTACACATTTAACTATTTCGATTATAAATTCAAAGCCTCCTTCTAACAAGCATACAAATTCTTCACTACACTGACAGCAAATCCAATTGCATCCATTCATTCAAGCCTTTATACTAAAATAGAAGCATTTGCAGCTAACTTTGATGTTCGGCAACATTCTGCATCGACAGACAATTCAACCTGAATTGCAGGTTGTATTGCCACACATCTTGAAAGTCTTTGGAGAAGAGTTGCAGCAGATTGAAATGATTGTGTGTGAAGTGCTGTTAGCATATGAATATCAGGGCTTGACAGCCATACCAATAAATTGCAATTTCCCACCCATGGCAGGCGCAGTACTGTGGTTGGAACAGCATTTGCTGCATTGCGATATCCTTACAACACATGACTTAAATAAATTCATCAAAAAACTGTGAGTATTGAAGACACTAGAGATAATATTAATATGATTGAAAAATATATGTGTACTGCTGATGCATAAAAAGAATTTTCTCATACACATAACCTCATTTATTTGAAGTATGTAAGCAGATGCACAGATTTTTAAAGAAATATAAGTAGAAGTTTTCCATAAGTGCATATTAGATTTGATTTCTTTTCACATATGCAATATGTTAACGTTTATTTAAGAAAAAATATTCAATTTATTTTATAAGATCACTAATTTCTTGTTAAAACTAGAGCAATATATCAAGGCGACTATGAATAACAAAGACGAAAATTGTAGGCGGACAATAAATACTTATATACCGAAATTATATACTGAAGTTTTTAAAATATATTAAACTAAGTAAATATATAAAAATCTATATTATAAATGTAGAAAATAGGTTCTGTCCAAGTTCTTTTTTTGACGTCTTTCGTTACCTTGACGTGCTTTGCCGAGGACTAACTATCAACTTACTGTTTTTCCGCTTTGAAAATGATAACCATGTTTTGGTCTGACCAAAACATATCAGGTCTATCAGTCAGCGTCCAATCTTAAAATAAGCACATTCAAATCCGGCATATCTAGGTAAAGTTAGGCTATGTCGGCGATTCTAAGAATCCACTTATGGCTATTGATCAATAATATTACTGAACTTAAAGGTTTATAAACCACCAAGCCTAAAATGCACTTTAAAGGGAAATCCCGCCATAGCTGAAATTCGCAGCAAACTAAGCCCCTAACAAAGTCAATCGCTGTCACTTATTCGCTTGGCAGTAACAAACCAGCTGTGTGGTGCTTTCATCATCCTCCCTGGTGGGAAGTGGGAGATTGAATTTACTAGCATGATTCTCTAAACGGCTGTGACCCGTTATTAAACCTATCACAAAACTAATATCTTTACAAGCATATCAATGGGATTGCTAAATTTTTTCTTTATAGAAAGCGGTCAACTTGAATACAAAAGCCTGCATATCGTTGAATCTTTCCACCTTCTATTAAAGTCCTCCATATAGAAAGATTATAAGTATTTAAATGATGACTGCTGTATACCTTCAACCTTTATGATGATTACCTGATACATTTTGTCTGGTTAACTTGTCTGCCTTGCAATTACCGTTAATAACCCCAAATTAAGGAAATGTTAAATTACGTTGACATCTTATTCAGAGATATAAATGGCAATTTAGACTCATTCGGATATAAATTGGATTGTATTTAAGGACTATTTGATAGTCCTTATACTAACTATTTCATAGCACAAATTCAATGTACCATGCATTTCCAGACAAACTATAGCTTGTTATGCCTTTTAACGATGACTTCCATCTAGAAAACACTGCAGTGATTAGGAAGCCTATAACATATACATTTATACAAATCCCATTACCTACACCATTACCTATTTTCAAACCGTCAGTACATACTATATGTATCTAGATAGAAAATCGACATCGTCCCGCATGTCCATCTATACACATACACGGGTATAGAACACATGTTGCCATCAAATCTGATGAATTTCTTTATACAGCTTTGATTTGAGAGTAATACTAAATCAATTAAATTTAAATAAATATCTGCTTTTCGATATAATTGCAATATATTTAAAAAACTTTAAACATTTTTAATTTTTGCTTAAATCCTGTAACAGAGTTGTCAATAATGTCCTGGAACCAAGGTTTGTTCAACTCACCTCACGTTGTGACATTTTGACAACAAAGCTTAGCAATTTGCAATTGAAAATTTGGCACAATTGGAAACAAACAATTGACAAACGCATTGCCAAAGGATTGAATGCGCCGGTGATGTTACGCAAAAATATCAAACAAAACACCACAAATGAAGGCAACCAATTGAATGCAGTAAAGCGTATCGATGATTCGAATGAAAATGACAGCATTATAAAGGCGCTGGAAATGAATTTCTCACACGAACTGTTCGCATTACTCAAGGAGGGAAAATATTTGCAAACAATACACCACTCCAAAACGCACAGGGACGGAGGCAAAATATCGAAAACTGTTTGTGAGAACACACATATAACTGCTGGTATTAGTGTTGGCTCGACAGATACGGCAACAGACTTAGGCATACCCGCGGAGACAACAGCTACTGGGGAATTTGCTGAAGAACACCAAATTACAGCATCGCATTTACCACAAACGTTGCTTGATTTGTATGCAAGGCGTGATGAGTTCTGGTCGCGTAAAATCAAACTAATCAAAATTTCAGAGTTCTACGATGGCATACGTGCGAGTGTGGGTTCAAGCGTTGAACTGCAACTGATACGCACCGACATTAATGCAATTGATGAATGCATTGATGCTGCATGCAATTCGATGACATGGAACTTATACGGTAAGTGACAAACTTCTACACTGAGAATGTGTAATGGCAATTGCTTGTACCTATTACACCTAAATTTTTAATATATGAGGACTAAAAGTAATACAGATCTATTTTTATGAAATTATTTGAAAATAAATTATTACCAATTTCCCAAAATTTATTCCCAGAGGTTCAATCAATCATTATATGCACAAGCACTAAAGAGAAAAGATGTCATTAAACAGTATTGATGTCATAAATAGTTATTGAGAGAGGAAATGTTTGCAAACATATTCTTATCAGGATATTCTTATCCATACCACTTGTTGGTTTTCAAATCTTCTTCATTACATAAGCTTAAATTTATTTAATAAAATTATTAGTTCCACTTAACTAGTATATGGTTATAGCATATTTTTTTGAGCATGCCCAGCTCTGCAATTTGAAAATCCTCTAACTACAGTGTTAACATATTGAGAGCAGAATAGAGTGACTCTATATTGTTACTTTCATGCTTTCATCCTGAGAATAAAATATAATCCCAAAGATTTAAATATTTTTATTAATATTTTGAAAGACTTAATATTTTGAAAGCATAATCTTAAATTGTAGATCCAACATTGGTAAATAAAATTTACAAGAGCACTGAAAAACTTTATCAACGTTTGCAACAAGCACAAGCCAATATCAATTCCATACTCTCCAGCATAAGGCACTGGAGTAACGAACCACTTCATCAACGTAGTCTGTACGGAAGAAATATGCTTGATTTGCGACATCAACAGGAACGCTTACGAACTCGTCTTATTCAGTGTGAAGATACAAAAATTCTACTCAATCGTTTATTGGTAGCAAATTTTTATTTATATTTCAATTATGACGAGGAAGATTTTAAGGAAAATGGTGAAGACTTAAGTGTCAAGCAGGTGAGGCACTTTTCGTTTCACAACGTTCGATATTCATAATTTTTAATCAATTTTCCCTTTTGTTTTTGCAGCTTTTGTGTAAGGCTACACCTGAACAGCGAAGTAAATACAAAAATTACTTAATAACTGTGGATGAAATCATTTGTAGAGAAGTGCGTCATGCTATGAAAATCAGGTGCTTTTAACAAAAAGCTTTTAATAAAATTAAACACTGCTTTAGTTAAAAGAAAAAAATATTTAGTTACAACAGATGTTCATTTCATCAACATAAAGTAATTTTATATTACCAATGCTATTTTTTTTAACGTATTTAAATTCTCCTTAACACTTAAGTTTGTTAAGTAGATTTGAGCTATGTGTGAATATGTGTGAATTTACTTAAAATCTTGCTTTGAATTAACAACTTCACTCCCATCATTAACATCATCATCATCATAGTTATCAATATCATTATCTCCTTATTTGTTAAGTCAGCTAAGTAGATTTAAGTAAGTTTGTTAAGTAAATTTGAGCTATATGTGAATATGTGTGAATTTACTTAAAATCTTGCTTTGAATTAACAATTTCACTCTCATCATTAACATCATCATCATCATAATTATCAATATCATTGTCTCCTTATTTGTTAAGTCAGCTAAGTAGATTTAAGTTATGTGTGAATATAGCATACTTGCTTAAATTCGTGCTTGCAATCAACAGCTTCACCTTATCATCACATCATTATTAAAACCATTAAAAGCAACATCCTTATTAGCACCAACATTACTATGATCACATTTATTGTTATTTTAAAAGCTGATTCGTGATTATTTGCCACTTAACTTATTAAAAATAAAATCTGAAGCATTTTTTTGTGAAATATAAATTCTCAACTTTAATTGTGCATGACTGAATCATTTTAAAACACTCAAATGAATTGTTTGACATGCATGCATTGGTAACATGCAAGAGTGTCATTCAAACTAACTCACAACTAATCAACAACATTACAACATCACAACAAGAACGAATAAAATGAAACACATTAATAAACCAGAAAGAAAAACACTTGACAAGCAAATACAACTAAATTGCACTGAACACACCGAAGTGCAAAACGGTAAGTTGGGTGGGTGCAATTGTTATATTGCATTTCATAGGCACGCCTTTTGTCAAGCTTGCATGCAAAAATCCTCATCGCACACTCGTATACATAATTACGTACTCAGTCGTCACTTAAGGTGTACTCCATTTAATTTTTGTATTACTCATACGCCACGTTGCACGCGTCTGCAGTTTGGAGTATTTACACAACGAAATGACAGGAGCTACAACGATGACGACAACAGCAACAAAAATAGCAGCAACAACACTATCAGCAGCAGCAGTAGCAGCGGCAACAACAACAACTAATGGTAGTGGAAAAAGACGAAAAGCAAATGAACTACAGAAGCAACTAAACTTTTACCAGTTGCCGCGTAAACTGCTCCAAACAAAACCACTTAATACCACAATGAGCAATGCGGCGCTGACGAACATTGTACCGCCGCCACTGTTTGAGGTGAAACTGGAATTGGTAGAGACCGAAATACGTTTTTCGCCTTCCTTTGAAGTGAGTGCAGAAAATAATTTTCAACAAATTGTCGAGCAACTGCTGCAAGACATTAACCAGACATGCAACTGCATACCACGAATTGTTGGTGACAACGCGCTGACAGCTCCACCTGCTGAAGATGATGACATCGATGCTACTACTGCCGCTCCTGCCGCTACATCAACGTTGGCTGAGTCGGGAGAGGTGGCTGCTGAGGGAAGAATACGTGCAGACGCCGCAAAAACGAAAACCAAAAAAATATTTAACATGGCAGCCGCAACAACCGCAAAAGGTGCATTTTCCTACCAAATTTTTTTTATTTTTCCTTTGTTTTTCTTTTGGATATAAGTTTTTTATGTTCACTACTCTTGGAAAATAAATTTTTCCATGTAAAAGTAATTTTTCACATGACGCTACATAATTTTTCATTGCTGTTAAGTTTTCTGTGAGTCCTTTCATTCTCCTTTTTTGTTTGCAGAACTTGAGGAATTGCATATGCTAAATGCTGGCATAAGAAAAACTTTGTCTGAAACCATGCGAAAGGCACTTGCTTATGCTAGCAATTTCAATAGGTACGCATTTCTGTGGACACAGCAAAAGGACGAAGTACTGAATGCAGTTTTGAATGTGGCATATGAAAATGATAATATCGGAAGGGGATATGCAATTTTAGAAGCTTTTAAAAAGGAAGTGAGTAGATTATCACTAAGCGAATATTAAATTAATTTCTTTAAATAAATTTTGAGAATATAATTTTAAGATTTTTAAGAATATCGTAATATTTTATTGACGTACTAAATAAATCAGATATCCTCAATATAAACTAAGCTGAAGTGATATAGTGATTCGAAAAAACTTTTCATAATCTAATAGTGCGTAAAAATTGCCTTTGGGATGAAGAATTAAATTGCAAAATAAAACAGGCAAAATCTATTAAAGTCTTCCGATCGCTCTACTCCGGAACGATCCACCCAACTGAATATATTACTACTTTATAGTACTTAAGCTACCATAGTTAATGCACAATTATTAATACATTAATAATTAATATTATAAATTAATAAATAATATAATCAACTGAATTAATATTATTATTTATTAAATTTATTAACATTTAAATATCAAAATCAGTTTATGCGGAATAATAATGCAATAATTTATAAGATTTGTATAATAAACTCTCAAACATTTTGAAGTTCGGAAATCTCAATTTTTATAAGTGTCGTAAGATGGTATTATATATCAGAGACAGAGCTTTAAAATTATTCACTAAAGTTGATACGCTACATAACCCCGCCCTAACAATCCTCAAGTCCACTTCTGGACTCTCAGGAAGATATGCTGATATAAGGTCCGTCATCAACTAAAAGACAAATAAATGATATGATTTCTTAGCCTAGTTAAAGCCTAGTGTGGGGTAGAGATTAGCCCCCCAGCCATTATAGAGTAAAAGTGCGTAATAGCACTAACTCAAGAAGAAGAAGAAGAAGTAAGATGGTATTTTAGTTTACAGTGTCCTGTTGTGATTCCATAATGCAGTAATTTATAAGATTCTTCTCATAAAATCTCAAAAATTTTAAAGTTGGAAAATTTGTATTTTTAGAAGTCTCGTACGATCGTCAAACTAAAACTATCCACCTTTTTCACAATCAAAGTTTTACTTTTGATGAGTCCATGCAATCTTGGTATCTCCTATTGTTATAAGTACCAGTAAGTGATTTGGATTATGTTAAACCTGCTAGATTACCCCAGTAATCCTTTCTGTTCTGTTTCTCCAACATTTTTATGAGAGAAAGGAGCGTACTCATAAATATATGAGTAATATCATATCCACTGAATGACATCAACTATATTACTGGTTACGCTTCTATAAAATGTGACTCGATTAATAACATATGACAAAGTTTACTATTGTTAATAATTAATACCTACTCAATCTTATTATTTTGTAATTATTTTGCTATTTAAATTAAGCGTACCTAATATTATTGACCCAATTCCTACAGGAGAAATGAAATTACACAGACATTAACTAAATTACTTGTAAATTTCCTCTGTAATATATTATAACTACTACTTACATGCATTTTCCATGTATAAATGTATATATACATCATTGATATGTATACTTCATCAATATGAAAGCCGATATATTTTTTAACTTCACACATTGTTGAAATGACTTCGATTATATCGGCCATACCAAAGATTTTAGTTATTCAGAAATTTTTTTTATATCTACAAGGAACACATATACAAAGCTTCCACTCACATCCCTAACCCCGTATTATTTGGTTGCTTAACCCCAAATTCCTTTAATTCTCCCATAAACTCAAACCAATTTGTGTGGTCAGTCAACTTCTGTGGCACATACGTAAATGACATAAAGAAATATGCGTGCACAATACTTGCATCCCGAGCCCATGGGACCAATAACGTTTGATAAATGCACAACGTTTAAGCAAAAAATTGCCACATTATCTTAACCCTAGCCATATTGGCAACAAAGGGTAGAAGGGTAGAAGGAATATTTTCCGCTTCTACTCTTTTTTTAGTCGGTTATTTTTATTTGCCAAAGGCTGTGATTTCCCTTTTATTATTTTTCTTCTCGAAGGCAGATGGAAATCTGTGCTGTGCACATGTAAGAACACGTATTATTTTTGAAAGCATTCGGTTTTTGGTCTGAGGTTTTAGCCAATTTGAGTTAAGAAATTGGTTTATATATCAAAGTTTATTTGAACTTGAAGCACATGACCAAAGTTTTATTATTCAGGGAATTGCGTTGGGATGGAGGGGCCAAGTTGAATAATAGCTTACACAATTGCTGTATACAAGCTTAAGAAGTTATTAAGTTGTCATTTAAAATAATTTTAATGTGAAATGAAAAGCATTAAAACTTTTCGGTTTAATTTTTATTGCTTATAAAAGTTTCTTAATAGTTCGATCTTTAGTGTTATTATAAGCATTTGTTGATATTGACACTACATTGGGACAAGTCGACCTCTAAGATGTTTGCTTTGTATGATTTAATATCAAAATTCAAGTGCAGATTTTTATATATATAAGGAGAAGACTATTGTAAAAATTAGTTTTGGTGACTGTTTTCTATTTTATAAGAGTAGTGTTATTGTTATTATTATTATTGAGTAGGGTAATACCAAACAGCTTGGTGTTAGAGTTCTATAATACTATCACCAATTTTTTACACAGACTATAATAAACATTTAACAATTTTTTATTTTATTCCATATGTTGTTTAGGGCAATAAGTCCGTTTTCAACATAGCTAAGCCTACTGCTGCTCTGTCTTTAACCTTCACATATAATATCTGAAAGACTGATTTCATTTATATATAACTTAAGCTTACCATGCTCTACCAGAAACTTCGAAACTCACATGCAAACTCATTCACATGCTCTCTGCTCAATGCAACAAGTCTATTTAAGAGTGTCTTCGAGATGTGAAGAAACTCGTAGTGTGACATTGGCCTTAACAATTCCTTCAGTCGTTTATAGATTAGTATTCTTTCGAGAACGTAACTTTTTTCACTAACTATAATATGAAATATCTTAAATATAATTCATTGTATAGTTCATTCTTTGGTCTTCTCGTTTGGAAAGGGGCATAACCTCTTTTGTCTTCCTCATATTCTTTATCTTCTCCACCTTCGTGTTATTTGTGTACAGAGATCCACTCTTGTTAATTGAAATGCAATAGACAATTGCTCAATATTCTTGAATGCATTTTAACAGACTTAACATCTAGTAATACCGTTTAGCTGTCAAATATTTTGTTGATTTTCGTTCTATTTTTTGTCTATATTAATTTTATTTCGCTTTAAATTTTTGTTTATTTGGCTATTTGGTTTTTTTTTTAATTTAAGAGCAAATTAGAGAGGTTTTAAATGTAAAAATTGACATAAACCGTTATCTTACATAAATATGTACTGTTTAAAGATTTTGGATAAAACCAAATGATATTTAAATTAAAACTATAAACCTTTTCCACAATACTAACAATTATATATTATATCTATATATATTTTATTATATATATATTTTATTGTCAAAATTTAATCTCCTATATCTCCTATGTCTATATAATAACAGTTATGTAAATAAACCATCAAGACTTCAGAAATCATATATGCAAGATTAACTTGATATATCCAACAAATACCGATTTCACTTTTCCACTATGACATTCTAATTTAGAATTCTGTGATCCTTAAAAATCATGCACGCAAGGTTAACTTAAGAAATCGACAGTAGATCTACTTCACTTTCAACTGTAAGATTATAATTAAAAATTTCTTGTTCCTTGAAAATCATTTGGACAATATTAACTTGAATAATCCGGGACATGGTGCAACCATACAGTACACTGTAGTATTCTAAATGTAATGTCCTTGTTCCTTTTGTATTATATTACGTGTGTAAGCTTTTAGTATAACTCAATCTTTTAAAAATCCTTTTGAATTATTAATTGCAATAAAAATGGTTTATATTGTTATCTGAATGGACATTTTTTTTCTATGTAAAACTATAGTGACTTTCAAGCTTCTGTAGCTCCTGGCATCAAAAAAATATAGTATCTGCTATAATCATTAAATATTTTCCATTCAAATTTATATATTTTCCATAGTATATTTTGTCCTCATAGACATTGTTGTACTGAAGACATATCACACCTAAATGAACTCACTCTTTGCAACGTAGGGCAAAACAATATTCACTTAAATAAATTCTTTAAGAAAACGTGTGGATATTTATAAGAATTGTACAGTAGGGAATCGCAACTAACATAGAACCAAAAATGAAAGTATTAACTAAATGTTGGTAATAAGAAAACATAAAAGGACATGAAAAACAATTTTATTTATGATAGACAATTGCTGTAAACTGGAACCCCAGCTGTGTAGTACATATGCGAAGATATTAAAATTAAGAGCCAGGCTTTCCGTTCATAGCAAATCTTGTTCCACACCAAAAAAACACAAGACACTTTTTGCACAACAGATTTGCGAATATTTAAGAAAAGCCACAAAATTACAGATACGTACTGGCGGAAATTAAAGTATTTCACATTTATTAGCCCGCAACGGATGTTGAGGAAAATTATTGGTTTTTTGTGTGCCCAATTTGAAGAGACCAATTGGTCAATGTATTTCTGTGCGGCATAAATTCTTAATTCAAATGTTTTTGGGTGTAAATATGTGAGAAATTTATGTGACTCGCATGCATAGAACGGACGAAATTAACACATAAATTAAGTTCTTACAAAACAAGAAAAAAGGAACACTAGCCAAATATGAATCCAGTTATATAAATATTAGATAAATTGACTTGAAGTAGCTCAGCTGCATACTTTGACCAAAACTCTGTGGAAATCATTGGCTTTATTGGTCACAGTGTTGAGGTTGGATGCTGTTACATTTGATGAGAGCACACGTGATACTGTGGTGCCGACTTGTATAGTTAAAGTAAGAAAATCATTGAAAAAGATTTTATATTAATTAATTTACACATAACATAAAGGATGTGATCCATATATTATAACTGTCTTAGGATTAAGAAGAATGCAAAATTTAGAAAGAGTTTGAAAAATTTCAAAATTAAATAAATCTTAAAAAATTTCACTTTATATTATTATCTACTATTGATCTTTAAAACTACTTTTAACAAATTAAGAGTTTATTATCATATCTATTTATAAACTATATTTTCCGTCAAATCTATTTTTCAACAGAAAAGAGGGTAGATGTGAATAGATATTAAACATTAGTTTTACATATTTACCTGCTGTGAAACTGAGGTGACGCTGAGACGTTCTCAGCATACGTATCGAGATTTTACACCAATAAATGCCGCTATGAAATTTCACGATCCTACTTGAAGTTGTATATTTATATATAACGATATAACGATATATATAGAAAAGGGTATAATAGCGAAAAAAATCTTCGAATCCAAAGATTAGATTCTGGATCTATTGATTAATTTAGTAGATCATAAAAGTTTTGGTCAGATTTGATAAAGATATATATCATCAGTGGTCTTTGGAAGCATCTATTGATTTCATTGTCCTGTCCATAATTATCAACACCCCTTTGAAATGATTCCTTCGGTACTAGTTGAAGTTCTATGTTTGCATATAACTTCTTAATTGATGGAAAAAGTAGAAACATGAGCAATAGTGAAGAAATATTTAAATCTAATCATTTAATTTTTGATAAATTAACTATTTCGAATACCACAAAATATCTATTGTCAGTGGTGGTGCATCTATTGGTTTAATTGTCTGTGTATAATTTTTGAACTACAAGTATGACAGGTTTAGTCAATTTTGAACCATGAACTCGCGTATTAATGCACGAGGCGAACATACATTTTAATAATGTTATTTGTGTGTTGTTAATATTTGTGTTTATTTTGCTATAAATTTAATTATTTATAGATTTTAAGCTGTTTAATGAATTGAGGTGAATACCACCAATCAACAAACAATATTATTTTCATCAAAAAATTAATTTTTGTTTGTTTTCAAACACTAAATATATGTTTTATTTTATAGTTTCCAAATATAAAAAATCCTTGATTATATTTCAGATTGAACGTTATAATGACCTACATGAAGAAATTGACCAGTTAAGCTGTCACTGTGTGGATGCTTGGTTGGCAATCGATATAAATCCGCTTAAGTATGCCTTGCTTAATCACGCCTGCAAATGGTCGCATTTGTTTAAGCAGCGGCTTTTGGTATACGTGCAACAAACACTAGAGGTAGAAATAATCCATTTAAAACAAATAAATTTAAATTAATATAAGAGAATATTTTTGATTTTGATTATTTCTAAAAATTAAACAGGAGCTTACAACCTTTATCAAACATGGCGAGAATATTCTGCAACTGGAAATCACACCTGAAGATTTCGCATTACTGCTACGCATACTAGACATAATGGCTCAGATTAAACAGCGCAGCGCTTATGCTGACAATATATTCAAGCCACTGAAGGACATCATATCACTACTCAAAACCTACAATGTTGAGTTTGGTATGGAACTAGTAAAGAGCATAGAGCTTCTACCCATGAAATGGAAGCAACTCAAAGAGGATGCAACTGCCAAATTTGAGGCTTTACAGCAGGCGCGTACTTACCAGCAAACCCGCGTTGCAGCAATGATTTTAATCTTTAATTGCCAAGTGCAAGTATATGCGAAAAAGTTCCAACGTTTACCGGTAAGCGCCTGCCTGAGAGCGGCTTTAACAGCCAAATGAGCAACTTTAATTAACTAACTACTTTGCAGTTTTTCCGCGTTCCCTGCGGTGCTATTTATGCACTTTGTGACAGAACCTCACAGCAGTTATTTCACTTTGCCGCAATCAACCGGCGGTATATACGCTGCGCTAAGCTGCTTGACATTAATTTACCGGATGAAACCCCTTTGCAGTTGTGCGCAGCTGAGCTGAAACGCGTTAAGGTGCTGGCAAGGCAATTTTATTTATTTTTTTTTTATTTTTTACTCATAACTTACATTTATGATTTTGACTTTTTTAATATAACGATTTCTTATTTTTATTTTTTTCTGATTTTTTTCTCGCACAACTGTGCAGCAATTGTGGGATTTTGTATGCGTCATTGAATCCTGCATTATTGACTGGCATGCAACACCTTGGCAAGCCATCGACACTGATGAAGTCGATGCTGAGTGTAAAAAATTTACACGCGATTTACGTACACTTGACAAGAGCATCCGAGATTGGGAGCCATACACGTATATTGTGGGCGTGCTCAAGGATTTAGTTGCTTCATTGCGCGCAATCACTGAACTGCAAAATCCTGCTATTACAGAAAGACACTGGATGGGTCTGATGCAGTTGACAAAGGTAAATTTTTATTATTCCCATGTTTCCATTACACGAGTCTTGGATACAATTCGAATTTAAGTGAACTATACTTAAGTAATTTTCAAAAATCAATGATACAGAATATGAATTTAAGGTTGGGCTTTAATGTAGACGTAAAGCGTTTATATCGAAATCTACTAAATGAGTATGAAAGATGTAGCACCAATTTTTTTCCAACAAATGTAGGAGAAAATCGAGAAAAATAGTAAAAAAAAGGTAATAGAACATATTATATACTTTTATAATATTATAAACTAGAAAATCAATTAATTAATTTGAAAAAAAATTCAAAGATAAAAAAAGAAGCATATTTAATAAATCAGGATAGATCTATAATTTTTAAACAAATATATATGCTATATATGTAAAAAGGTGGCATCACTGTGTCAGCAGTATGCGAAGGAGGGAGAATGGAAAGACAGCAGCAGTCAGTCGAAGGTAAGCGTCCGAACAGAGAAGTTGAAAGTGAAGTTGTAAAGTGATAGCGGTCGAATAGTGGATTTCTTTTTCAATTTAATTATATCTAAATAACTGTTGTGTATTTTCAATTACAATTATATCTAAATAACTATTTTGTATTTATATTATACTATAAATTATCTTACATATATGTATATATAATATATGTATATGTATTACATATATGTATATATTATTGTATTTTCTAGAATTTTTTCTTTATTCTATGTATTTAATATGTTTGCTATAACAGAACCCTGCAGATGACTGTAGATTTACTCTAGAAATATTGATATTAATATAATGTTTTTTGAAACTGAGTAAACTTAAAAACTGAAAAGACATAAGAGTACGTAAACATTATTTAAATTTTTAGTGCCAAAAGTGACTCAGTTTTCCATTCTCCCAAATAAGTACAACCTTTTACAGCTCATAGCTTTGGTACTAAGAATGCTGCACCATCTATGCAAGCATATATGTACCATCTAACAGAAACATATTAATTTAATCAAATGCTCGAAAAGTTTGAACCCTTTTGATTTCTATATAATTCACATGTAGGATATTGATTAACTGCCTTATAGATCCAAACAGAACATCAACCCAATTCAAATGGGTAGCTTCTAGTTACTTAGAGGTAATTGTGATGTAGTATGCATTTGCTTTGGCAATAGTAACCTGCAAACTTTTTTGTAGATTTAGATTTAGAATTTTTATTGCTCTTAAAACTTAGAACAGTCGACAGTTGGGAACTACCTTCTTTTAGTTAAAGATTGATTACAAAGACATGTATTATATATTAAAAATGAAAATAATTTCTCTACTAATGCCTTTCTTATGTTCAATGAAATTATATATATGATAGTTTTCTTAATTTTTTATTTATATGTAGTCGATCGAAATATTTATATTACTATATATTATATATATTTATGTAATATTAAATTATGTCTTTCAGATGACAAAACAATATAAATCGGATTATTTGGTAAGATGTTTTACTTGTCTATGTTATATATAGTAGTGCATCTAGATCTTAAACAAAAAATATTGCTAATGTTAATATAATATTATTATCATTTGCTATTATGTATTAAAAATTGAATGCTTTTAATTAGGGTTTTGCATGTAGAAATTTGCACATTGAAACCAAAATCTTTAGATAACTAACTTATATTGATGTATTGATAAATTGATATATAAAAAAAGTTATTCAAAATATGGAAGTTTACCAAAATCTGCTGACAAATCATGGTAAATAAAAATCTGAATTATACAGATTCAATAAAGCTAAATTGTTATAGTTAATAGAACAATAAAAATAAATAGTTAATAGTTAACAGATATAAAGTTATGGAAAATATATATTACTCATATAAAAAATAATTAAACCTATTCGTATACGTAATAACACATTCTTATATAAATTATATATTAACATATGTTAAATAAAATTAAATCCACAGTTAATGTTTAGAACTTTGATATTGAGCCTATGATGTTATAGATAGTCTCAACTATCTCAGGAAATAAAGCCTTACTACACATAGTGTAGTATAAACTTCAACTAAACTTTTAGAAAGTGATCTCTTCAATCAAAAAGTTATTGGAACGAAATTTTGCAAATCAATTTATTGGCACTGGCACCTGTAGATACATGCTCTTCATATACATCGAAAACTTGCTTTAAAAAATGCTTTGCTAGTATTTTTAACAACTTTTGAAAGGATCCAACCAAAATCTACTGCGTGGAGTCAATAAAATTTTATACTTATTACGGGTTAAGTATGAAATTATCTATGAAAAAATTTAATTAAATCTTCTGTTGCAAAAAAATGAAATACATAAATATTTAATAATACATGTTTAATATATTTAATTTAATTAACTGTTTACAGTGTATTTACTTCAAATAATTTTAATTATAAAAATAAATTTTCATATTATGTGCTTTTAAATATGTGATAAATTAGTTTAAATAATTATTTATACATATAATAATTAAAAAAAAAAAGAGTTTTATATTACATTACATTTTAATTAATAATATCGATTTTCTTCAATATAATAGGATCAAATTACCAATATATTTTATGCTAAAATTACTTTAATTGAACTTTTGAATTGAACAATAAACAAGTAAAATTTCAATAAAAGTATTTTATTAAATTTATAATTAATTTTTCCTAAAGCGAAGTTAATTAAAATTTAAATATAGCAATAAATTATTTTGGCATAACTAATATAATTTGCACATGCGGAAAATACGAGTATTTTACAGGTGCTTAAAATGCATTTAATATTAATTTTAAACAGAACAATATAGAAAATAAAATTCTCATATACCATATTACACGAGTAAATATTACTACGTATCTATAAATAACCATATATAGCTCTTATGTTACATGTACTATATCTCAATATTACACACAATGGTTGGATTATTATGCATCTATAATTTGTGGGATGTCTGTCCTTTAATCGCACACCATAAGCTACTAAACTTTATGTAATGTTGTTGAAAATAATCAAAATTCTGTTTTATTACTATTAGAGAATTTATGAAATAAAATAAAATAATGTGCATGTGTTACAGTAAGTGAACCCACAGATACAGATACAGATACAGATACAGATACTGATACCTACAGATAGAGATACTCACAGCATGCTCATATAACAATTTAGAACTAATGCTTTGTATTTTATGTATAGATAAGTTTCAATATTAACAAATAATTGATAAATTTGTGTTGGGTTTTGAAATAAAGACAATTTGCCAACAAGATGCACATGTTGGTATTACATCAAAATTATTGCTATTGCTAAGATACTCAAAGTTGGTACTCGTATAGTTGATGCTGTTGTTGTTATTGCTGTTGTTGCTATTATTGCTGTTGTTGGTACTTTACTGTTGTTATTACTGTTGTTGTATTAATTATTATCTGGTCAACATAAACTTAAACATTTCAACGTACTTATCTCTATTTGTCCTCCCACAAAGGATGCAAGATAAGAGATACGAGTAGATTGCACCAACATATGCCAATCAATAGGATTGTTGGTTGAAAGGGCAGCATTAAGTTGCATTGAGTATGATTATTAAATGTACAGGGTATATTATGCAGTTATTTAAGTAATTGTATATATGTTTTAACTGAAATAAATAGCTTTGAGCTCTAAAGTGAAGTAAATGCTTTTATGCTTTTATCTTAAAATATTGAAGGAACTTAGTCAGTTATACTATATATTTGCAAACTATTATTACATCAGCTTACTAATACCCTGTAATGCAAAAATTTATATCTTGTTTTATCGTCTTATTTGCAGTTATTTTACTGCTATTTGCAGTTAATCAATAAGCCAAGTTGGCTATTGATATATGAATACGATGTAACAATACGCAGAGATATCAAAAGAAGTAGATAAATAACTACAACAAAAATATTTGTGATGTTATTTGCAAATATTGAATTTCTGTGAGCTTATTCAATATTAATTACTATACATATGTATATAAACTGAATGATAGTCCTTATTTGAATAAAACAAACAAACTTATATTTATTTTCTCTTATAATTTTAAGGCATTTAAAATTTGCTTTTGCATTTTATATTTATTTTTTTATAATTATACTTTAATTTAAAATCAGGTAATATTGTAAATCGAACTAAAAAGAAAATATTTTCACAATCGATTAATTGTAAAATTGTTTCTTAAATTCGTACATTAAAAAATAATCACTCATACGCAACGTGTACCGCATTTAACTGAGAATACAATATGTATCGATATTCATCTACATATAAATTTTAGTTTTACATAATTTTTATTTTAATTAAATAATAAATGTTTAACTTTTAAGTTTTATGTTCTCTGCCCTCTTCACTTTCACAGCTTTCGTTCAAAACAAATGCTGATACTACACTTAAAGTACTTTTTGAACTGAAAATACATCAACATGAAGAAGATATCAAAAATACCGTAGATCGCGCCATCAAAGAAATGACAGTCAATAAAATACTTGATGAAATCAAAAATACTTGGACACATTTGGAATTCGAAACCGAACCGCATCAACAGCGTCAGCAAATACAATTGCTCAAAGTATCGGAGGAGCTAATCGAAACTTTGGATGATAATCAAATGCAATTACAGAATATTGCCACTTCAAAACATATTGAATACTTGCTCGATAAATTGATGCACTGGCAAACGATTTTGAGTGGCGTTGACAGTCTCATAAGCAATTGGTTTGAAGTGCAACGTAAGTGGCTCTATTTGGAAAGTATTTTCATTGGTTCAGCCGATATACGTTCACAATTGCCTATGGATGCAGCACGCTTCGAGGCTATTGATAACGAATTCACTCAACTCTTAGCTGAGTTGGTGGAAGTAGGTGTAGTTATGCGTGTGGTACTAGAACATAAACATGTACTAGATACCTTAAAACAACTGCAGCAACGTTTGGCAATATGTGAAAAGGCATTAAACGATTACCTGGAGACGAAACGTTTGGCTTTTCCACGCTTCTATTTTATTTCTTCAGCTGATCTACTGGATATCTTGTCTAATGGAAATAAACCACAAATTATAGATCGACATTTTATCAAACTATTTGATTCTATCTTACGTTTAGAATATGAAGAAAATACGTCACATGCTATTGGCATTCATTCCAAAGAAAACGATGAATTTGTCCACTTCATTACTTCGAGTGATAATACAGGACAGGCCTACATTATATGTACAGGACGTGTGGAATTATGGTTAAATGAAGTCATCCAACAAATGCGTTGCACTTTGCATGAATTATTCCGGCGTGGCTTACACGCTTTTATGGAGAAACCACGTGAACAATGGCTTTACGATTGGCCAGCACAGGTGGCACTATGTTGTAGTCAAATTTGTTGGACAACAGATGTCAATCGCGCTTTCGCGTGGTTGGAAGAAGGCTACGAAGCTGCCATGAAGGACCTACACAAACGTCAAATAATGCAATTGAATGCCTTAATCAATCTCTTATTGGGCGATTTGACACCAGGCGACCGTCAAAAAATTATGACCATCTGCACAATAGATGTACACTCACGGGATGTTGTTGGAAAAATAATACATGCTAAAGTAGAAAATTCATTGTGCTTTCAGTGGCAATGTCAGTTAAGGCACCGTTGGGACGTTGCACAAAATGTACTAGGAACAGAAATATCTGGAGCTGAAGACTGTTTCGCCAATATATGCGACGCTGAATTTCGGTATGCCTATGAATATCTGGGGAACACTTCACGTTTGGTAATCACGCCGCTTACAGATCGATGCTACATTACTCTGACTCAGGTAAGCAATCAAAATTATAGAAAGGCTTTGTGTACATAAAATATGATGTATAGAATATGATGAAGTTGGATTTATTCATATTATCTGTAGTCTCTACATCTGGTTATGGGTGGCGCACCCGCTGGTCCTGCTGGAACTGGAAAGACGGAAACAACAAAAGACCTCGGACGCGCCTTAGGGGTTATGGTATATGTTTTTAACTGCTCTGAACAAATGGATTACAAGTCATGTGGTAATATTTACAAAGGGTTAGCACAAACAGGAGCTTGGGGATGTTTTGATGAATTCAATCGTATATCTGTGGAAGTATTGTCCGTAGTAGCAGTGCAAGTCAAAACTATACAAGAAGCAATTAAGGTAAATTCTCAAAATATACAAAATTTCTTTTCAATACAAATTAAGCTTAATTTGTACTCAATTTAATTATATTTAATTATAGTCTCTTTTTTATTTTAATATTCAACATTTTGAATCTACTGTGAACTATTTTTCCTTATAATGCAGATGCAAAAAGAAAGTTTTGAATTTATGGGTGAAAACATACCACTTGTACCGTCTGTTGGTATATTTATTACCATGAATCCTGGTTATGCAGGTCGCACAGAACTACCAGAAAATTTAAAAACACTATTTCGTCCATGCGCAATGATAGTGCCCGATTTTGCTCTAATTTGTGAGATAATGTTAATGGCAGAAGGATTTCAAGAAGCACGTCTTCTAGCACGAAAATTCATAACACTCTATACGCTCTGCAAAGAGCTACTATCAAAACAAGATCATTATGATTGGGGGCTAAGAGCTATTAAGTCTGTATTAGTAGTGGCAGGCACACTGAAAAGAGATGATCATAGTCGTCCCGAAGATCAAGTATATAATAAAAATAACTTTCTTTAAAGAAATTCATAGTCAATTATTTCAGGTACTTATGCGTGCTTTACGTGACTTTAACATACCCAAAATAGTAACAGATGATGTACCCATTTTTATGGGACTCATAGGTGATCTCTTTCCAGCACTCGATGTGCCACGCAAACGAGTATTTGAGTTCGAGAAGACCATACGTCGTGCCGTAAATGAAATAAAACTTCAACCCGAAGAAGGTTTTCTCATGAAAATTGTACAGCTTCAAGAACTTCTGGATGTACGTCACTCCGTATTTATTGTCGGTAATGCGGGTACTGGTAAAACAAAAATTTGGCAAACGCTAGTAGAGACGTATCGCATACAAAAGCTGAAACCAGCTTACAATGTTCTAAATCCAAAAGCTTTATCAAATGATGATCTCTTCGGTATAGTAAATCCAACAACACGCGAATGGAAAGATGGTTTATTCTCATCAATCATGAGAGATCAAGCAAATATGCCTCCAGGCAATCCTAAGTGGATTGTGCTAGACGGTGATATTGATCCCATGTGGATTGAGAGCTTGAATACGCTAATGGATGATAACAAAATTTTAACACTAGCTAGTAATGAACGAATTTCCCTGAAACGTGATATGCGTCTACTTTTCGAAGTTGGTCATTTAAAAGCGGCAACACCCGCAACTGTCTCACGGGCTGGCATTTTGTATATCAATCCACAAGATCTGGGCTGGTCACCGTAAGTTTATGTTAGACTTTTGTTTTCACTATTTATTGTAATTTTAATACTTTTCGTACAGTTTTGTACTATCTTGGTTGGAAACTCGTGCCGATATGGTTGAACGTAGCTTGCTTACTACATTTTTTGAAAAATATTTTCCCAGTCTAATACAGCATCAAGGAGACTTTCGTCGTACCACTCCCATAACAGATATGGCAATGATACAAATGACTTGTAGTTTACTGGAATCTCTGTTGGAAGTTCATCAAGATATTTGCTTGAGTAATGCAAATACTATGCCAACCAAAAATAATTTGCAGCACAGCAGTAAAGCTACAGACTCATTAGAATTAGGCCTGGAATTGTTATTTATATATGCTACTATGTGGGGCTTTGGTTCTGCTTTATATCAAGATCAGATAATTGATTGGCATCAGGAATTTCACAAATGGTGGACATTAGAATTTAAGGAAGTAAAATTGCCAACACAAGGCAACATTTTTGATTACAGTCTAGATATAAGTACAAATAAATTTCAACATTGGAAGGAGTTAGCAATGGAGAGTACAGGCGATCTTACAGATACTTTGCAACCACTGCAGGTTAGTTGCAGATTACTTAGCTTAATTTAACTTTTCTTATATATTATAATACTTTTTACAGAATATGCTTATACCTACTGCTGAAACCGTTCGGCTTAACTACTTTTTGAAGTTGTTAATTGATAGGAAGCAAGCTTGCATGTTAGTAGGTAACTCTGGTAGTGGCAAGGGAGTTATACTAAGGGAAGTCTTCAACAAATATGCCGCAAAACAAGAAATGCTGGAAATTGCTTTAACACCCACAACATCTGCAAATACGCAACGAAGCATTTCCGCCTCGACACGCCTCTTAACAGTACAAACTACTTACTTTAATTTTTATACAACTTCCGAAATTTTTCAGAAAGTACTTGATCGTCCACTTGAAAAGAAATCGGGACGCACTTACGCGCCAGCTGGTCCAAATCGTCGTTTAATTTATCAAATTAATGATTTAAATATGCCAGAAGTTGATGCTTACGGAACAGTACAGCCACATACAATCATAAGACAATTTATGGATTATAGTCAGTGGTAAGTGATTATTTAATACAAAAATCATAGACATAAATGTAAATTTATGCAGCTGATTTTCTAGTCTAAAAATAATATTTTTTTAACACTAACATTAGGTACGATCGTCAGAAATTGCAGTTGAAAGATATACGCCATTGTCAGTTTGTCGCTAGCATGAATCCTACAGCTGGTTCCTTTACCATAGATCCTCGTTTACAGCGCCACTTTTGTGTTTTCTCTGTAGCAACACCAGATGAATCAACCTTACAAATCATATATAGCAACATACTTAATAGTCACTTGGAAAACCCACTTAATGGTTTTACTAAAGAAATTAAATCCATTGCTAATTTATTGGTTCAAGTAGGAATTGCCTTGCATCGTCGTGTCGAATATGCATTCCTACCCACTGCTATAAAATTTCACTACATGTTTAATCTACGTGAATTGACAAATATCTATCAAGGATTAATGAATAGCATGGGAGCTCCTGCACAGATTGGTACGGTCACTTCTGTAACTAATGGTGCCATTTGTACAAAGCCTTCCGAACTAATACGTTTATATGTACACGAAGCATTTCGAGTTTATCATGATCGTTTAGTAGATCCCTATGATATTAAGTACTTCAAGTCCTGCATACGTGATATATTCAAAAAAGATTTCGAAGATTTCGATGAAGACTTTGTTTTTGCCGAACCACTGATTTATAGTCATTTTGCACAGTCTTTAGTGGATCAGAAATATTCTTCAATCAAGAGTTGGGATAGTTTATATCAGCTACTAATTGAAGCACAAGCCAGCTACAATGATGTGGTGGGCTATATGAATTTGGTCATGTTTGAGGATGCAATGATACATGTGTGTCGGTAAGATATTATGTAACTGTTTATTCTGTAATTGGTATTGATTGATAGATTGATAATTGGTATTTATAAATTGTAGTGCCAGTAGACTTTAAGTATGGGTAGATATACACAACCTCTTTATTATATCATATTCTTATTATACTTTTTTATAACATATATACTTTATTATAGATTATTTCATATTATATTTTTGATTTTTTGTTTCATATAAATAAAAATTATTGTAATGAATCAAATAAATAAATTATTTAAATAAAGATTTAACTAAACATATATACGTATACTCTTGTACAACAGCATTAATCGCATCCTAGAAAGCCCACGCGGCAATGCCTTACTCATTGGTGTTGGTGGCTCTGGAAAACAAACATTAGCACGATTAGCTTCTTTTATATCTTCCTTAAGTGTAACGCAAATACAAATCAAGCGTGGTTTTTGTCTACAGGACATGAAGGACGAAATTGCTGCATTGTACATGAAAATTGGACTTAAAAGTGTTGCTTCTGTATTTCTCATGTCAGATGCACAAATACCCGATGAATCCATACTAACGTTAATTAATGACTTATTAGCATCTGGTGAAATACCTGAACTGTTTTCGGAAGACCAATTTGAATCCATTATCAATGGTATACGTAATGAGGTAAAACAAAGTGGCGCACTTGATACAAAGGATAACTGTTGGCGTTTCTTTGTGGATAAAGTGCGACGTTTATTGAAAATCGTTTTGTGCTTCTCGCCTGTTGGACAAACGTTACGCATAAGAGCACGTAAATTTCCAGCGATTATAAGTCGCACTTCGATTGATTGGTTTCATGAGTGGCCGAAATCAGCCCTAGAATCGGTGTCACAAAAGTTTCTCAATGAAATCGATAATATTTTATCGGTAAGTTGAAAAGTTCACAATAAACCTGAAAATGTACATGTAAACTTTACATTTGTCTCCGACTTTTTTCCTTTGTTTCAATTCCATCCTGTGTAACAGACTGAACTCATTCAACCCATTGGATATTTTATGGCTTACGTACATGGCACAGTAAATGAAATATCGAAAATTTATCTACAAAATGAAAAACGTTACAATTACACGACCCCAAAAACATTTCTCGAATACATTTTCCTCTATCGCAAACTTTTGGTAGATAAAAATGGAGAATATACGCGCCGCATCGAGCGCTTACAAAGCGGTATGGCTAAATTGGCCGAATGTGCACGTCAGGTAGATATGTTAAAGGTGAGTAAAAGTACACTTTTTCCTCCAACCCCTCCTACCTGCACTGCCTGCAAATGGAGGCAATCAGACTCGCATATCGGATGTACATAAAATACGAGAATGCGCAAAAATCTGCTACTACTGCCACATTCAATTAGTTCGTGTAATTGAATTGTTTTTTGTACAATAGCCACGAAAGCAAATACATTTCAGATACGTGAAACAGTGAACCAGTGAAACGGTGCAACATTGTTGGTTGCTTTCGAGATATGTTCACTTTTTTACACTTCAACTTTCAGACATTTTGTGGTGAGATAAGAGTGAAGAAGAGAAGATTTATAGCGATTTTTATTTAATTAAAAGTGATAATCAGTAGCAGAAAAAATGTTTGCTATTACTAATTATATCGGTTGAAGTGTTTCGAGATGAAAAGTACTGGTATGGAGTAAGCGTTGCATAGACCAATGAACCTCAACCTATGAATCGTCAATTTTAATTACCGCTTAGTGTAACTTAAGAAAATACGCACGTACTTAATAAAAAAATAGAATTTTGCAAGTCAATCCCCAGTCTCGCTTGTACGAATCATAGAGTAAAATTAGCGTGACTTTCTTCGTATAACGCTTCTTCAATAGGTTCTATTCACAAGAAAGAATAATATTCAGTTTGCAGTGAATAATGCCTCTCGAGAAGAATAATATTAAAATTTAATTTTTAGAAAAAAAAACTATAATTAATTAATTCAATTATTCTGCAGCTGATTTATGATTTCACAGTAAGTAAATTTATCAATGAACTTTCATAGCAAATTAACAAAATCAAAGTTCGAACATACAAGTCAAGTATGGCTTTAGGTCAGTTAGCTAACGAACACTGGCTCTGAACTTCAAATTTGGCAAGCTACGAATCCAACCCTTGCTGCTTGTAGCAAATAGGAATAAATAAATTAATATAAGAAATAATTCCAAAACCAATTAGATGATTAGTAGTTAGTAATACTCGGAAGAGCTGTATGGTTGGTCCAAAATTCAATTAAGTAAAAATAATTAAAGAAAAACTTTGTTGTTGCAATTAATTACTGTTGGAAAACTCTTCAAAAAAGTAGAGTTACTGTATATTAATAGACGTGTATATATGAAGGTGTATGCAAATGCCATAGGATTCAACCAGTTAAAATCCTTAAATTCAATTTAATCTCATTAACATTACTTTACACTGTGTGTCGACTCTGCTTAGAAGCAAATGAAACTTCCAGTCACATTCTCTGTGACTGTCCACAGAGATTTGATCTGAGATTCAACCAGTTAAAATTCTTAAATTCGATGTAATATCATCAACATTACTTTACACTGTTTGTCGACTCTGCTTAGAAGGAAACGAGACTTCCAATCACATTCTCTGTGACTGTCCAACTTTGATCTGAGATTCAACCAGTTAAAATTCTTAAATTCGATGTAATATCATCAACATTACTTTACACTGTTTGTTGACTCTGCTTAGAAGGAAACGAGACTTCCAATCACATTCTCTGGGACTGCCCAGCTTTGATCTGAGCCAGGAGGGGATCACTGCGTCGAAAACTACTCTCTCCTTCTGATATTAGGAGATCCTTAACTGCCGACATTCTGGCTTTCATTCGGAAGGTGGAATATCTTCTGTTCGGTTAGGGTCTGTTACAGCACAAAAGATCAATCATGGTCGCTGTGCTCTGCTCCGTTGGGAGGTAGTACTCCATTTATTCCTATTCCTACCATACAATGGTACGACTTGAATTTATTACGCGAGTACACACTGACTGTTGGCTCAATATGATCTGATGTATTTTTTTAACTAAATAAATTTTAAGAAATAAATGTTACAGTAAAACGATTGATAAATTACAGGGTTGCTTGCACTTGGAAACATAATTTATGAGATTCTAAATAAATTTTCGACGTAAAGGAAATGTTTCATGTTTGAGTCCAAAATATTTTGGAACTTATCATTATAACTTTTTCTCAGTTCGGCTCTTAGTTGATGTCTTCGATACAATTAATGAAGTAAAAAAATCATTCTCCTTTTCCTTAAAATATTCACTTTTTCTATAGTGTTTTCCGTCTATAACATTGCACTACCTATTAACAAAGCAAAACGTTTCTTTAATTACCAAATTTATTTTTCTTTAACACTTCAATGACTTCCAAATATAAACTACACTCGAAAAGTTGATTCACTTTTGTTTGATTTTAAATTAAATTAAAAATGCTAATTAAAAAATAATAGTAGTAAAAAAATACTTATTCAACTTCACTGTAACTCTGAGGAAAGAATCCTACGTTAAGCAAATAGAAATGAAATATTTTTAGTAATTTTCGAGAGAAAGAAAGAAAGTTTTTCCTTTCAATTTGAAGCAAATATTGAAAAATCGTGCCTTGATTTGCAAAAACTTTTTGTTACAACGCAAAAAATAATAAAATATTTAAAAATTTTAACTTTTATGCAGCAGGTGTAGTAGAACTTTTCCAATATTTTTTGTTCTCACAATGTTTAAAAATAAAAAAAATCGGTTCCTGACTCAACTAATTGGGGGGCACAAGTAGAAAGCAGCGAACAAAACCGTAATGTTCCACAAATATCAAATCATTATCATTATCTCAAGAACTATTAATTATTTGTTTTTTTATTTGGCTTTCCATAGGATCAACTTGCCATACAGGAAGTACAATTAAACGCTAAAAATGCAGCAGCTGATAAGCTCATAGTCATTGTGAGTGCGGAAAGTGAGAAGGTGAAACGCGAGAAGTTTATAGCTTCAGAGGAAGAAGCACGCGTACGTATTATTGAGGAAGATGTATCCATCAAGACCAAAATGTGTGAAGAGGACTTACGTAAAGCAGAGCCTGCCCTTGTAGCAGCTCAAGCCGCACTGAACACACTCAACAAAAATAATTTGACGGAATTGAAGTCATTTGGCTCACCACCCAAAGCGGTTGTTAATGTTTGTGCTGCAGTTATGGTCTTGTTGGCGGTGAATGGGAAAATACCACGCGATCGTAGCTGGAAGGCAGCTAAACTGACGATGGTACGTGTGGATCAGTTTTTAAATGACTTGGTCAATTACAACAAGGACAATATTCATCCTAATATTATTGAAGAGCTACAGGAGTATTTAAAGGTATGAAATATGAAATCATCGAATCATTAGACGTAGACCGTCTTAGTTTATGAAAGTTTTTCCACGAATAAGAATTTGCCCAGCTCCTTGCTGATAATCCACATCTGTAAAGATTATTGAAGCATGATGGTTAGAAGAAGATTAAGTCACCGTCTGCCTATTAGACAATAACCGGTTACAGAAAAATATCTAATTCATCATCTTTACAGATCGAAAAGAATAAAATATATTTATAGATATTGTCATTTTGTAAACATAGAGAATAATCGACAAATACATGACTGTGGTATCACATACTAGTTAATCTACTGTGAAACTGCCATAAACCAGTTACTGGTTTCTTGTTTCCAAATGACCTCACTTAAAGAGAACAACTTTTGTTTTCATATATCGAGAGCATAGAGTTACTTGGGTATTAGAAAATAATTTTTTAACTCTTTCTAATATGTATTTTTCTGACATAGAGATGTCGGATGTTAAGGAGTATTATTTGCACTCAAAATATAGTTCCTATATTACCTTATATGACGTTTCACGCATATTAAGTTCTCAATAAAACCCAACTCTTCTTTCGAGAAAAGTGGCCAATATTCTGACGATTTTAGTTTTCAAGTGTCAAACCGAAATTACAAAAGAATATCCATATTTCTTTGATAAAAATCTATTTGATGTACTTAAAGATGGGAACAGATTACCAAATTATATGACCTTGGGAATATCATTAATAAAAATATGGTAGTATTAATATTAGATAAGTCCGAGAGCCACTTAGGTCTTAGGTGAGCATAACATGAAAGCGTTTCAAAATCACTGATATAGCAAACATAGCCTTGTCTTGACTTATGTGAAACTCGATTAATGTGTTTCTTCGAACTCTTTCTTTATTTATTTGTTTATATTAATCAAATTTTTTTTGAAATGTATCTTTCCTCTTAAGGATCCTGAATTTAACCCGGATAATATTGTGCAAAAATCTGTGGCAGCTGCTGGTCTCTGTGCTTGGGTTATCAATATACATCGGTATCACCAAGTTTTCCTAATAGTAGGCCCTAAACAAAAAGCATTACAGGACTCACAGGAAGAATTATTAGAAGCACGTGAACGCTTAAAATTTTTAAAGGATAAAATAAACGAATTTGAAGCTAAATTATCCGAAATCCAAGCAGAATTCGAGGAGGCGGTTACAGCTAAACAAAAATGCCAACGAGAAGCTGATAAAACAGCGTTTACCATTGATTTAGCTCATCGCTTGATTAATGGCTTGGCTAATGAGAACATCAGATGGAAGGAATCAGTTCAAAGGTACCATCAATTTTATTGAATATGTCTATGTTTATATTTAAGATATGTCTATATTCTTGTAATGATATATATTATACTTTAACAGTGGTCTCTGCCTAAGGAATGGTTATGATACATATTTAGCATCGTAACCTTCATAATTTAATAATAATTTATGGTTACCAGCCAAGTGTTACAGTACAGTGACCTTTACACCACAAGTGCCAAAGTTCAATGTCTATAAAATGAAAGTAAAATTGTAGATTATTTATATATTACTTTCATAGAGAATTTTTTCTCATCGTTTTTGATAGAAATGTTCTGTCATTGCCATAAATCGCAAAGTATGAAAAAATTGTTTCAATTGTTTTCTGCATTTTTCTTCAGTTTTGATGAATCACGTCCTTTTTTCGAATTTCTGTTACAAGTCCTTGAAGCATTGCTTACATATTCCTTAATGTCAAGGTTCCACTGAGGGTAGCAACGAAAGGTCAAATATAAAACTTTTTATTGTCTGCAAACATTATTTTCTATTTAATTCTAATATTTATAAATTTCAATTAATTTCTCATAAAAACTTTTGGGATTAAACTTTTACTTAATGTGGAAGTTATTTGCAAATTGTTTGGTAATAAATAAACTTTCTAAATATACATTTAGATTAGATTTAAATTTTGTAATATAACTGAACTTCATAATAATTTACACTGCATTTTTTATTTTCTCCATAGATGCATTATTGCGATATGATATTTTTGATTATTCTTTTATCGACCCGATATATTTACAATTTTATAAGAAATGTTTAGATATTGACGATTATATGATGCTACTTACATATATGATCTAGTTCAATTGTTTGCAATTTCTCAGTTAGATAAATTAGGGTCACAATAATACCTATAAATATATTAATTTTCTTTTTTTTTAATTATTTTCTATAGCAAGTATACATCTGTCTAAAGTATTGAAGACATTAAATATATTTTAAAATTCAATTAAGTTTAGGGAAAGTTTGTCGACGATCTGTTCAGCAACAGAGAGTCATATTAGTTGTTTAATAGATATAAATAAAAACTATACAATTTATAAATATTAATATTAAAATGAATTTAACTAAAATCAATTTAAGTCCACTGGACTTGTTCTTTTAAGTCTGCGATGTCTTGAGAGCTCAACTATAGGTAGTTAGCCAATATAGAAATTTGCATGTGCAGTAATTGTTGAATGATATTTTCTACTTCTAGTTTTGATTTCTTCGTTGGTTGTTAGGATTTGAAGGTCATTGTATATGATTAAGTTACTTACATACCATTCTGCGTTTATTATTTGCCTAAGGATTTTAGACTATTGCCGTAGAATAATGTTTATATTAGAATTTCTTGATGTTACCCATATTTGTAACCCGTAGGTTCATACAATAATATATTTGACTCTACTTTTTGAAGATTCAAGTTACTTTAATTGCTATCTTTTATTTTGTTGAGAGAAAACATAATGACTAAAAAATTCTTAACCAATAGTTTGCCCAACTATATAAATAACTCTATAATTTGCCCAATAAATTCAATTTTATCAATATGATACTAATTTTCTGTTTATTTGATATATGCTGTATATCATTTATACCATAAATATATATAAAAAACATAAATAGAGCACCGCTATGGAAAAACTATCAAATTTGTTATAAAATTTTATTTGTTAGCAAAATCAAACAGATGGTTGAAATTTCTATTAAAAACGATACTCCTGACATAATGTGCTGGTAAATAGGTTATGTATGGTAACGATAATCGACAGCCATATTACCTACCCTAACGTTTTTAGTGACTTTTAACTAAGTCAGATAGTTAAACTTTCCTTACATCCATATAAATATGTCACAATTTCATTGTGAGCGGTTGTAATTCAAATTAATTTCATATTAATGAGAAATATATATAAGTAATTCTTAATTATGGCCTACAAGAAGACTGAATCTTTACGGAAAATCTCAATGCTAGTTTGCTAGATTTTCTTTCAAAAGATCTCGGTCAATATGCATGCAGATGCCTACATATCGTGGAATCTCTCCATCTACTATGAAAAAGTAGGTGCAAATCTTATAGAAGAAATCAATCCACATGATATTCTCCTAACAGCTTTGATATGAATAAACATCAAGTATTTGCTGCGAAAAATCTCAATGAAATTACTAGATTTTTTTTAAAAGAACTCTATTATTAAAAAGAACTATTATTAAAAAGTGCGTGAAAATCTTATGAAAGGAATCAAGCAATTTGATCTTGTGCAAACGGCTTTGATATTAATATACATCAAGTATTTGCTGCTTCAGATATTCTATGACAATAGGGTACAAACACAGTATAAAGTAAATTAAAAAAACATTTTATCCTTTCCAATGTTTATCCTTTGATATCCTCTAAAATATTTAATTATTCTAAGATCCTTACAAAATCAAACGCTTTTATAAAAAATAATTAAAATCAGAATTATTAAAACGCATTTCGATAATTATTTAAGCAAATGCTTAAAGCTTTTGGAACATCTTGAATTAAATAGCACACACGCACAAACTCACACCCACACATCAACAAAGAAAATCCCTACAAACTTACTTCTCAAAACAAAAGGATCATGGGATTTTTACTGGGATTTTTACCAATAAAAAATTTTGCCTTTGATTTCAACAGAGAAAATTACAGAAGCGACAAAAACTTCTGCTAAATTGTAGTTTAAAACTGCATGAGGAATTCAAGTCAAAAGGAAAGTTTAAATGTGTTGGTGTGCTTATGCTTCACAAAGAACTGTTAGCGCAGCTAACGTTTGTTTTTGTTTACGTGTGGTTGTGTATGTGTGCTCATGCATCAAAAGTACATATTTTGCTTTCAGCGTGTATAGTTGCTTACGTGCCTTTGTTGTTGTTGTTATTATTATTATTATTGTTGTTGTATTATAATTTGTTGTTGTGCTTGGTTTTTCTTTTTATGCATGCACAATTTGAAAATCGTGTGTAAGCCTTCGTGTGCTGTTGTCATTTCGCTGTTAAATGTCACTTACAAAAGCGCCTGCCGTGGCTTTCTTATGCAGTTAACGAGCTAAAACCGGAAAAAAAGAGAAAACAATTTACGTGCGAAAGATGACAAGTGCGGAAAGGTGTCTTAAGCGGTGGCAAATGCAACAGGAGCAAAACTGAATGCTTATAAGCTTAATAAGTGTTGTGATATGAGACGATTTGCATGACTTTTCTACTGAAAACGGCGAATTTTTATTTTATTTTAAATTTGAATTAATAAAAAACTTTAAGTATTTCTGCAAGTATTTCTCAAGTGATACTTAATGGGGAAATTATAATTAAAGTATAGAAGATGTATAAAACCCGGGATTTAGCATATAACTAAAACGTACTTTGAAAATTATAATAGCTTAGTCTGACGAAACAAAAGGTCTTTACAAACTTGGTACAGTTATACATTTATCCAGCAAATTGTAGATTCTGCGAAGAGAATGAAGAGTCAGCAACACAGGTATGTTAATACTCCTGGATGGAAGCACTGGTGCTGGTGTATATGAACCCAACACCAGAATTTCGGAGGCAAAAGGCACATGGCCGAGAGTCTTTCAATATCTTAAAAAAAAAAACTGTTTGGCTCGAGAATTGTTATTTATTCTGACAACCAGGCTGCTTTTAAAGTTGTGTCTTCTTGAACTTTGAAGTCGAGCTTCTACATTTACTTGTAGTTCGGGATAAGGTAAGCCTTTGCTGGGTTCCGGGTCACAGGGGAATTTTGAGAAATGACCACGCTAATGAGCTAGCCAGAACTGCCCTCAATCCTTTTGTGGGTTAAACTGGGTTAGTACAAAACAAATTATCAAGGAGAGGGAAAATCGTATGCTGCTGGAATTCTGGAAAGACTTAGACAAAGCAAAGCATTGATAAAACCATACTCCTACGAAAACATTCTTACCATATATGTATGTAATATATATATATATATATATATATTACATATTATATATTATATATTATGTATTATATATTATATATATGTATTATATATTATATATATATATATAAACAATAGAAATTGTACGACACATGTTAACAAACTCAATACGATGTTCTATATCACTATACCAGAGCTGTCCAAGGTAAGGCTCACGGGTATCATGTGGCCCGCGTGCTTCTAATCTATCACAATCACGCAAATTTTTCTTTGTTATATATAATAAATTCTCAAAATGTGATTTAAGGTTTATAACGGGTTTCATTACAGGTCATTATGATGTGTAATACAGATTATGCCTCTAAGACGAGAAAACTACTATGCATATTCTTTCTGACTGTCCATCTTTAATAATGCACAGAAGAAACTTGTTTCATATGGAATTTCTGTCACCAGAACAGACTAAGAGCTCTTCTCTAGATTTAGTTCTGGCCTTTGTTCACGAAGCTATAAAGGGTTTTGTGTAATCAATAGCGAAATTGGTGCAATAGGACGATTATTCGTCAAAACTTTAATAATAATAATAACAACACTCCTGGGAATGTATATCCTTACGGAAGGCTCTTCCTACTTTGATCTGTAAAATAGGTTCTATACTATTTTTAATTGAATGAAAGACCCGATGGGCGGAGCGTCACATCCACGCTTAATAACAAATAAATAAATTCATATAGAGAGACTGAATGTAATATGATACAGAAAATGCTAGCACTGGAAGTCACTCGGGAATGTGTGAAGAATCTTTCCAAACTCCAAACTAAGAGCACGATTGGTCGGCATGATAGAGAAAAGTCAGGATATGAAGAATTGATGATGCACTAGAATGTTTTGACAAAATTGAAAAAGAAATAAGTAAGCGTTATAAGTGAAGTCTTATATTGAAGTATAAGATAAATATATAAGATATATAATTTAAAATATTTATATTTTATTAATAACTTGGTTTAATATATAAACCGCCCTGGTATATTATTTCTTAAAATTCACTACTGCTTACAACTGCAAGTACAGAACTCTTACTTTGAGTAAGAGTGCGTAAATAAAAACTTCTGCGGGAAAACTCTGCACAAGTGTATACGTCGGGAAGGCTTTTTACTGCAAATTAAACTCTTTGAGTATAATTCACAACAACCTCGTTGTTTTAGATGCTAACTCCGTTCTGGCTTTTATTATTAAAAAGTAACTTATTTAACTTAAAATCTAGCTTTTACTTGAATATTAAAAAATATTTAAAAGAATTATTCCTACAGTACTACTAGTCTTACCATACACTACTAGTCTTACTACTTTCTTTTATTATAGAAGGGGATTAACTCTATATTAAATTTTTCTGAAATGCACGTTTTTTGAACTTACCCCAAACATGTTACGTTTATACCTCCTACGCCAGTTTTTTCCCTTTTTAGCCTTTGCACTAATAAATGCCTTTGACCTGGTACCACATCCATTACCTGAGAACTTGACTTTCCATTGCCGCAAATTGCGCAATTGCACGCAATCAAAATTAAAAATTTATCAAAAACATTTTGTTTCGAATTTCAGTACAAAATTACAGTTGCAAGCAGTTAATTGCTGAATTAGTAAATTTCTTAAAGTTTATTAAGTGCCAATTACCGAGGCCAGAATACAAGGCCACTTAAGGATACTTAGGCATGCACATGAAAATTGAATTAACAAATTATGGCAGAATGAAATCGAACGATTAATTAGCAAAACAAATTAATTCATTAAAATTTGCAGTTGACTTAAGGTAACAGCTGCATTTTGTGACTAAACAATTTAAATGTTATAATTAAATTACATTTTTAATTAGTTTTTAATCGAAATATGTTGGCATGTCAAACACATTCAATACTCTTGCCTTGACATCGTAACATCAATGTGTTTTAATATTCCATATGAGGACTATACGTATCCTACTAAATGCTTATAACTTATGATATAACTTACAGTTAGATGAGTTATATGAAAGCAAATAGGCAAACTTTTACAGTATAATAAACAATTAGACAAATATTGATACCAATTAAAGGAAAAGGAAAAGCGATAGCCAGAGATTCCAGTCATTAATGAAGTAAACTAATAGTTGTAAAAGGATCATTCCTTGTTAAAAATATTAACCAGCATAAAATACCGATGGCTAAATTCCCATTCCAGAAAAAAAGATTGCTTCCACATCATAGTTGATATGAAATTAGACGATTATATTACCCTTAACCATTAAACAAGTAAAATTATAACTGTGAACGAACTACAAAAAAGGTTAGGACATACTGCGATAGATAAGGACTACCTCAATCGAAAGTGAGAGTTGTCGACTTTTCATTACGCTACATTTCAATATCCTACTCAACTCAAGAACGTATAACTAAATATGTAATATTCGACATATCTTCAGTATATTTAGTACAATTCAAGCTTTGTTAGCTCACAACCTATTTCAATTTAGGGATACTACTCTTCTTAAGGAGAAAAAGGGAAGAAAAGCAGTATATTAGCAAAAATATTTTTGTCTTGAAATATTTGAGAGTTATGTTGATGTTAATATCATATACCACCTGATAGACACTACTTAAAGTGTGCTTAAAGCATTGGGTTCAAAAAACAGGTAAAATGATAAAACTACTAAAAAACGGATGAACGATTATGTATTCGCACAAATATGCCATGTGCGAATACAAAGCCTTATACTTAAACGAAGTATATAAAAAATTATTAATTGAAAATGGATATAAATTACATTAATAAATACTAGAGAATACGCAGCACAAAAGAGCAATTTGGTCGCAGTGCTCTGCTCCGTCGGGAGCTAGTACCCCGTTTATTCCTATCCTACTAGAGAATACCTTTGTAAATAAAGACACTGACCCGTAAAAGACTTCTGCTTTTTGTTAAGAGTATATTGTTACACAAACATGAGAATTCAATCGACTAAAACTACCTCTTCGGAACGAATTGCGAAAAAATATGATCGATTGTTTCATAAACAGCCATTGGTTTACATCTCATTCAAGAGAAATAGAAGTGGACAATAGGAAAAATGTCTAGCAAACTAAATTCATCTAATTGAAACAGTCAAAGAGGCAAATTGGATGGTTTTACTTGGAAGGGGTTAGATCCAACTACTTATGGTATATATGTTCTGAATCGTATTGTTTCCGGTTATGGAATATATTAGAAATTAAGTTACATTCAATCTCATCTATATAGAAATTAATGAATTGTAGAAACTTGATATAAATCAGGATTTATATACTCCTTGAAGAATTGCCCGTACTAATAACTTTAACATTCTACAGACAACTACAGACAAACAATTCTGAGTTATCTGAACGATTGCTATAAAGTTACCATTGTTACCAAAACCTCTGGATTAAAGGCAAATTTTAATCACATCTGGCGAGATCCAAGTACCTATCAGGTGATGAAAGCAGAGGAAAAAAGACTAAATGATTTGCTTATAATAAGTATTTTTAATTTAGCAATTGAGGTTATTTTGTTAGTGAAGCTTAATATTTCTGAAAGCGTTAGTCTTATTCATTCTGTCTTTAAGAAGGACGAAGAAGAGGGATATAATAAGTATTTTTAATTTAGTAATTGAGGTTATTGTGTTAGTGAAGCTTAATATTTCTGAAAGTGTTATTCTTATTCATTCTATCTTTAAGAGGGACGAAGTGATACGAGGAACTTCTTATTTGGGCATCAGCTATTTGAAACTAATGTTTATTTTAACAAGAAAAAAGTGGAAATGGAAATTTGATTCATATATTTAAAGTGAATGCTTTAATGATATATCTTCTTTCACGGCTTTTTCTCTTTAATTTTCTGCAATAGTTGAAAAAATATATGAGAGTGGAAATTTATTTTAATTTTATTTTATTTTTCTATTCACCTTTCAATAAAACAATAAAATAAATTGAATACTTTCAACAGAACGAAATGCATTGGAGCATCAATACTGCATAGAATTGGCTTGTGTTAATATCCTTTTCGACAACACCGAATTAACTAAAATATCTACAAGAATCTATCTCATTGACTTTCAACTCGTAATTTTGTAATTTATTTGTGCATTTGTTTTGAACTTTATTCCTTTGTTTCTTTTGTCTTCCCAAATGCAATAAAGTTTACAAGCCAAAATTGGTACAATACCAGGAGATATCCTGTTAATTTCCTCCTTCTTGTCGTATGTTGGTTGCTTCACAAGACGTTATCGCGAGGAGCTACAACACAAAATGTGGATGCCGAGTTTCTGTAAAATTCAGGTAAAATAGAAGAAAAAAGAGAAAAAGCCTTGATTTATTATTTGGCAAATTAAATTTGTACTATCTTTTAATTTTTTATTTTTGCGTCTATTTTGGTATGCAGCCAGCGATTCCTTACACGGATGGTGTGGACTCGTTAACATTACTATCAGATGATGCACAAATTGCAACGTGGAATAATGAAGGGTTGCCAATGGATCGCATGTCAACTGAAAACGCAACAATACTAGCACATTCTACACGTTGGCCGCTCATGATCGATCCACAATTGTGAGTGAAATCGTGCAAATTGGAGGAATATCGATATTTTTACTGTTTTTAAAAATTAGATATCGAAATTAATTTAAGTTTTAAGTTCACATTTATTTTATTGTTTTCAGTATATTTCATTTCAATCATAACTCTTTCCCAACAGAAATCCGTTTAATCCGTTTTCTGATCAAATTTCTTGGAAGTTTCGCACCATGTTCCATATTGATTAGAAAAAATACAGACTAAGCCCATTAGTCGTTTCACTTGTTGTGAAAATAACTTATTATTCATGATTCAAAGATTTTATTTTGCTTTTTTTTCCTTGCAGACAGGGTGTGAAATGGATCAAGAATCGTTTTGGCGATGCTCTGGTGGTAACCCGTCTTACGCAGAAAGGTTTTCTTGATACCTTAGAAAAAGCTATGCAAAAAGGTATTATCAAAATATATACAAATAATTTACAAAAAATATAAATACGCAATTTGTCCATGGCTTCTAGGTAATACTGTTCTAATAGAACAAATAGAAGAAACAATAGATACCGTTCTTGAGCCACTATTAAGTCGCGCTTTGATTAAAAAGGGTCGCTATATACGTATTGGAGGCAAAGAAATGGATTTCAATCCAGAGTTTCGTTTAATACTACACACAAAACTGGCTAATCCACACTACAAACCAGAAATTCAAGCACAAACCACACTTATTAATTTCACAGTAACACCAGATGGTTTAGAGGAGCAATTACTGGCTGAAGTTGTAAAAATTGAACGTCCTGATTTGGAACAGATGAAAATTGACGTAACCATACAGCAAAATAAATTTAAAATTTCCTTAAAGTCTTTAGAAGATGATTTACTTGCACGCTTGGCTTCTGCCAAAGAAAATGTATTAGAAGATCACACCTTGGTCATTAATTTAGAGGCCACGAAGAGCACAGTTAATGATATTGAATTGAAAGTGAACGAGGCACGCGTAACCACCTTACAAATTGATGATACAAGAAATATTTATCGTGCAGCCGCGAAACGTGCCGCCATTTTGTATTTCGTCCTAACTGACTTAAGCCGTATTAATCCCATCTATAAATTTTCTCTTAAATCCTTCATGAATGTCTTTAGACATGCCATTACAGTAGCAGAACAGTGCAAAAGTTATGAGCGACGTGTAACATACCTCGTTAACTCGATAACAATGCAAACCTTCCTATACACACTTCGTGGTCTCTTCGAGGCTGATAAGTTAACGTTCACATCACACATGATTCTTCGCATAATGATTGCAGCTGAACAAATTTCAAAAGAAGAATTTGACTTCTTATTGCGTTTTTCGCATAATCCGAACTCCATTTCAACTATAGATTTTATAAGCCGTAACGCTTGGGGTGGTATTAAAACTTTAGCGCTGATGGAGCATTTTTATGGCATTGACAAGGATATTGAAAACTATCCAAAACGTTGGCGCAAATTTGTTTCAAGTGACTCACCAGAAAAAGAACAATATCCTGGAGAATGGAAACATCGCACACCATTACAAAAGCTTTGCATACTGAGAGCATTGAGGCCAGATCGCATGACCTATGCAATGAGGCAAGTTTATTTTATAGAATTTCGGAAGGGATTAAATGGATTTGAGAGTTAAATTGAATTGAATTAGGAAAATAAAGAAAAGATGTAACATAGAGCTAAGTGATTAGAGTGAGAGAAAGTACAAAAAAAATTGAAAGAGGTGGAAATAGAGCGAAAAGACAATTCAAATCGCATTAAAAGTTAGAATTTTGAAAAATACGAAGACAACAAAGAACTCAAAACTGGTAAAAAAGTGGGAAATAAAAAATAAATACATATATGGAAATAGATGAAAAGAGTACAGGGGCTTATGTGGAAAAATTTGCAGTAAAAAATGTAAAACCTGAATACTGAAAGTACACTTCTTGACTTAGCTTAATCCCTTAATTATTAATTAATTGTACATCTGCCAAGTTCAGATTAGTAAGAGAAGATCGAATATTGAATTAACAGATTAATATATATAAAGAAGAAAAATTTCTCATACCGAGTAGAATACTATAGTGAAGCCTACTATAATTAAAAAAGTATCTAAGTGATATATATGTATATGATATTTATTATTCTCATTGTTACGTACTATAATGTTGTAGCCAGATTTAGTTATAGCCAGTTATAGTCAGATTTACTTCATGTGGGGGGTATCTTTAGATATTTTCAGTTATTTAAAAAAAATTTAAATATGTATATTCATATATATATATAATTTTTGGATTTATGTTGGAGGACTTTTGTCACTCAAGTATTTCCTCGGACTACGTGCCTGTTTATAGCTTACAAATATATTAATTAACTCAAATCAATTTACCTTAAATTATTTTTTTTATTCAACAGACTTTTTATTGAGCAAACTATGGGTCGCAGCTATGCCGAAGTTCCCTCCTTCAGTTTTTCAGATGTACTCAAAGAAACAACAGCAGCAACACCTATATTTTTTATACTTTCACCGGGCGTTGATCCAATACGTGATGTAGAACGTCTCGGCTCACAACTAGGATTCAGTGCTGATACAGGAACATTAGTTAATATATCACTTGGTCAAGGTCAGGAAATTATTGCGGAGAGAGCTATTTCTAATGCACTCAGCAACGGCAATCAATGGGTTGTCCTGCAGAATATACACCTTGTTGTCAATTGGTTACCGATTTTAGAAAAACAAATCGAATGCATAGCTACAGAATCGGAGATAAATAATTCTTTAAATTTTCGCTTATTCATAAGTGCAGAGCCAGCACCTGATCCTCAGTATCACATAATACCGCAAGGAATACTTGAATCTTCATTAAAAATCGTTAATGAGCCTCCATCTGGAATGGCAGCAAATTTGCACAAAGCATGGAATAATTTTTCACAGGAAACCTTAGAGACCTGCACACAAGAGGCTGAATTTAAATCAATACTATTTGCACTTTGTTATTTTCATGCTGTGACCGGAGAACGTCGGAAATTTGGTCCACAAGGATGGAATAAAGTGTATCCTTTCAATGTGGGAGATTTAAGTATATCCGCTAATGTTTTGCATAACTATTTGGAAGGCAGCAATCGCATACCATGGGAAGATCTGCGTTATCTCTTTGGTGAAATTATGTATGGCGGTCATATAACCGATGACTGGGATCGACGTTTATGTCAAACCTATTTAGAAGAATTACTGCAACAGGAACTAGTCGACGGTGATTTTGAGTTGTGCCCAGGTTTTCCTGCACCACCAAATTTAGACTTTCACGGTTATCATAACTACATAACAGAAGTGCTGCCCACAGAATCACCAGTATTATATGGTTTACACCCAAATGCGGAAATCGGATTTTTGACAACTGCTTCCGAAGAGTTGTTGAAGACAATTTTCGAACTACAGCCACGGGAATCTGAACTGACCACGCATTGCGGTGCACCACGAGAAGAGTTGGTTAAAATTATGATCGATGATTTTCTCGATAAATTGCAAGATGAGTTCAATCTTCAAGGCTTGCTAAATCGCGTAGAACGTAAAACACCATTCGTAGTAGTAGCATTGCAGGAATGCGAACGCATGAATACGCTTATACACGAGATAAAACGTTCAGTACGAGAACTTCTTTTGGGTCTGAAAGGTGAACTAACCATAACCGAAGAAATGGAAAGTCTGGACAATGCTATATTTTATGACCGCGTACCTGAAGCCTGGGCACGTCTAGCTTATCCGAGTTTACTAGGTTTGCAAGGTTGGTTTGGAGACTTGCAGCACCGTATAAAAGAACTTTCCGGTTGGTTGAATGATTTCAAACTGCCTTGCACAATCTGGTTGGGTGGCTTGTTTAATCCGCAAAGTTTTCTCACAGCAATTATGCAAGAAAGCGCTCGTAAGCACGATTTGCCGCTGGATCGAATGTGCTTACACTGTGATGTTACCAAGAAACAAAAGGACGATGTGACGTAAGTGAAAACCCGTACTCATGAAAACTGCAAATTAACAAAAAACGTAAATTGTGTACTTAATAAACGTCTCTAAGTTCATTTAGTAATGTTTTAAGTTAATTAAAAAATTAATTTTTTTCTAAATGTTTGTGACTTTGCATTGTTCCAGAAAATTCCATAAACACTTGAGCAGTCAACTCGACTTTTATAGTTGAAGTTTAAAGAACTTTTTGTATCATTGCATCCTTTTTTATTTTAATTACTTTATCTGGGTTTTTTGCTTATCGGTCCTGTTTTCTTGAGCTCCTTTTGGTTCCGTTTTTAATGTCAGTTAATCTATTTTCCTCCGAACATTAACATTTGCAGTTTACCGCCAATGGAAGGTGCATTCGTGCATGCCTTGTACTTGGATGGCGCAAACTGGGATTGTCAACTCAATTCTATTGTTCCGCTGCATTCAAAGGAGCTATTCTGTTCGATGCCTGTTATTTATATAAAATCAATTGTGCAAGAAAAACAGGAACTTCAGCACATTTACGAGTGTCCTTTGTACAAGACAAGGTAAGTACGCTTGGCAATGCCAATAAAATTTCCATTTGCAATGTGCGCACTCTGTTGGTATATCAGCAATAAAAAAATGTGTTCACTGCTTGTTAGCCTGGGGGAGTCGGGAGTTCCAACCACTTGCTTTAATATAGTAACTGCATTAATTTTTCTTTTTAATTCATATTACTTATAAGTGTCACTTAAATCTTTGTACAATAGTTTTTATTTTGAACCCCACACACTCTATTTTCCTATTTTCTTTTTTCATTGGCTTTTGCAGATCACGAGGCAATACGTATGTTTGGACGTTTAATTTGAAAACAAAGGAAAAGGCTTCAAAATGGATTCTGGGTGGAGTGGCACTTCTCTTACAGAGATAAAATATTTATTAATTTAGAAAGATAATACATCATTGTTATTAGAACTTTAACTCGTTATGAAACTAGAAAACCAAAAATAAATTAAAATATATGTCATAAAAGAATTTTAATTTTTTATTTAAAAGATATGATATGAGAAGACTCATAGGAATCAAGTTAGAAGAAGCTACTAATCTTCTTTATTAGAAGGTAAGTAGATTCAGATTAGCAACACTGGATGCTTGATAAGAGTTTCATATAGTTGAGTTGCAAACTTAATCCTTTTTTAATATTTATCTAATAATAAAGCTGGTTCTTGACTGCAGTTATCTATAGATTCGGGTTTACCATATAGTGTTAATCAATATTACTCTAAGCAACATAATTTTTCGTAAAAAATTCTATAAAGAAGTAATCCAACTAGAGCATACAATAGAAACCTGTACCGCATTCTATATGATCTATTGAACTAAGTCCTGCAGATATAAGGACGCTCGTTACACATACCAAAAGCTTAGGCAAATGTTCAAAATGTTACACCTGCTTTTTTTGTAGTTCAAGGATATCAAGCTTCTCTGAACGAGTTGTCTAGACTTGTCAGTGTCAATTCATATGGATATCTAGACACAGAGATTGCTCGAACAACTGTAAAGCATACGTACTTGCTAAAGCAGGCACACTTTTCCCTGAAATTCACATTGTGGATATTGGTCCGCCTCTTGCAACGACTAAACTGACAAACGTAAATACCTATAGTTACCAATGGAGGACCTGGGTAGATGAAAATATTTGTCAGATCTGAAGATTTGCATGAAATAATTTATACCAAATTCATACCAAGCACTAGTCAGCTGCTTCAAATAAAACAAAATATACTCAATACCAAGATATTGGTGCTGACCAGTTACTACATATTATCCTGCTGCTCTCCGAAATCTGGGTCTTAGATATTCAAATACCTCTAGCAATTGCTTAACAGGCAGTAGAACATAAATACCTAGGGTTAGCAAAGAAAGCCTAAGTAAATGAAGATCTTGTCAGATCACAAGACTCAGTTTATCCAACCAAATTCACATTATAGTTTACACAAATGAATGCGTACCACTTCGTTACCACGGTATGGAAGCTAACGCATGTTGAAGCCACAACACAATAAGAGTCAATCTACGCTTTAACGCATTTTGTTGGGTTATAGCTCTGTACATAAAAGAAAACTTTACCTAGTATCACCTATTATATCAGCGCCCATCATTTGCTAGAAAAATATTAAAATCTTTTTAGTCTCTTTTCCCAACTGACCGAACAGAGCTGTCAAGTTTTAATGGTATATAACCTTGTGCTATATAAATGGAGACTGTATCTTACTCTTGTTGCAACGAGCTACCATATAAATATTCCACTTCAATTTTCTCATATTGGAACTGTTCATAATACCAACTTTAAATTGATATAAGTTAACTTCAGAACGTGCACCCACCTATAGGCAAATTACTTAACATACTTACTTATTTGGCCTTAAAAACCCGTTGCCGAGTTTCGGCGTGACGCAGCATGTCTCCCCAGGCGATTTTGAATGCACGCCTTCTCCAGTCTCGTACATAAATTTCAAACAGTGCTCTCTCAACTTGAGAGCGCCAACTACTGCTTTAAACACCTTTTTCACTGGAGCATCTTCATCCATTCTCACGACATGACCAAGCTAGCGAAGTCGCTGGTTATTAATTTGCTGAATCGTACAGCTCGTGTTTCATTCGTATGCAGTAGTCGTCACCAACTCGTAGAGGACCAAAGATCTTACGAAGAACTTTTCTCTCGAACACTCCCAGCGCTGCTTCATCATTCTGTGATAACGTCCATGCTTGTGCGCCATACAAAAGCACAGGGAGGATGAGCGACCTATAGAGCGTAAGTTTCTAGGCAAGTGACTATATATCAAATTAAACTCAGTAACTTCGCAGTAACTTCCTACTAACCACAGTACTTCTTACCATGCCTAAGTGTTTGGTCTTTCTCATAATTAAGTTCTTTGTTCTCACATTCTCATACAAAGATGTACTAAACAGTCTGTACGACATCTCATTTGTTATATTTTTCTATTTGTTAATATTTTTTAAATTTTTTAATTTATATAGCATTTTGTTTTAAAGGCAATACGAAAAATCGCACTCACTTGGGCAGAGTGCGATTTGTTAAATTTTTCATTAGCGTTCTCTAAACGCTATAATTGCAGTGATAATTTTATTGTAAAAAAATTAAAAAAAAAAAAATAAAATTACTACATATATTGTAACGTGCAGCCGTCCGTCACTCACGTTCATTTTTATTATTATAAAAATTATTTTTTTTTATTGCTTACCTTGCTCTTAGCTGAAAAGATTAGCTAGAAAAACTAGACAAAAATGTATCTGTGTTATTAACAGCAGATACATTCTTCAGATAAGTTGCACACAGCAAAGCCGTCAAATTTTTTTAAATATTTTTTGAATTTAATTTTTTAAATGCAATACCATTAAAGTTGCTGACTTAATATCTTAAAAACGGTAATAGTGATGATATGTGCAGTAATAAGTGCATAAATAAAATATATATATATATATATATAAACTATTTCGGTGTAATAATTATGCACTGAAAATTAATAAATATGTGAATTAAGGTCATGTGGCAATGATTTTCAAAATATATGAAAAACTATTTATATTACTGTGACATTGTCTGCCAGCATTTCTCGAAACTGTGAACAATTTGCATTGAGCAATTATGATATAATATAAATTGAGCTAATATAATTTAAAAAAAAATTTTAAATTTATTTAAATGAAAAATATTTAATGACAAAATTTTTTAAAATAGTTATAAAATCACTAAATCCATTCTTATTGTCGTGCTGCTCAATAATATGTGTGATCTATTTAGTGTCCAACGTGTCCTTTGCCGTTTTAATGTTTAATTTTTATTTTTTTAATAAATCTTTTATATGGATCAATTGCTCAATTCTGTAAATTAAAAGTTTTGTTAATGAAGTTAATATTTTATTTCGATCTGTGAACTATAGTCGGGAATCATCTTTGACACTCTAAATATGTGATATCTTCATTAAAAGTTTATCGTATCAGACTTCGCGGAACCAGACAAATACCAGTACAACGACGACATTCGGTCATATTTATTTCTATAATTATTATAATTATATATTAAAACATATTTCTTAAATAATTTTTGGCAGGACCCGAGTTCGATTCCTGGTACTTGCAGTCTCAAAAATAATTATTTGCGAATAATTAAATACAAAAATTATTTCTAAGACCACTGATGATGGGTATTTGGCAATACTCGAAACAGGTGTATGGTCAGCCAGAAATTCAATTAATTAAAAATAATATAAAAAATAAAGTTTTTGTTGTTGTAGTTCACTACTGTTCGAAAAAACAGTCATTTTATTTCTGTTTATTATTTTATTTATTTTTTATACTTAAGGCAATGTTTATTTAATTCCAATTTAAGTCGTATTACTGTTACTGGTGTTGCACCCATATAAAAACTTAAACTATACTCCATTAACCATTACAGAAATTATATATTTCGATTAACTCCGACACATCATTTCTGAAATGACTGTTCTTCAATGATTTTTCTATGCTATTAGTTCTCCAGTATTTTAGGTAAAACCATTGTTTAAACAGACAAAAGTTATAAAAAATATTCAAATCTCAAGTTATTCAGTTCGTCAAATACATAACAAGTCTATAAATAATAATGTTTAAAAGTGTTAATTCCTTACCTTATATTTTATTCCCACATTACACACTCCACGATGTAACATTGCTATCACAATCGACTTTTTTATTGTAAATTCAAGCCTGATTCCGATACACAGCTTTCTAATGTTCTATGTGATCAATACTTTTCTTTTTCTTCCTTTGAGATGTACTCTTCTTTTATTACTTATACAGCTCAGATAGTTGCTATATTCTTTGATAAGCTAGCTAAGCATTACCTTTGTTGCGAATGGAGTAACTCTAACTCTAAGGTGATATTCTCACCCAATGTAGAAGACCTACGAGTTCTGCAACTTTCTCTTATCTTCATTTTCGCTGGCATTTAATCCAATATATGCCTTTAGAAAGTTTTCTGATATTCAACTATTCTATATTATACAACAAATATAAAGTATAGTATAGAGCAATATATATATATATATAGGCTAAAATAGACTATATAGACTTATATATTGTAATGCAATATACGCACTTGAAAGATAACACAATAAACCTTATTAATATCTGTAGATTAAGCAAAAATGCAGCCAGACCAGTTATTTATTTAACAACTATTCAGCAACCTTTTATTATAATCCAACAAATTTCTAAAAATTATGCTTTCTATTATTTAATAGATATACGATTTATTTGATAGAATTTCTTTATCATCTTGTCTTTTTTCTTTTTTTCTTTTCTTTTTCCCATATAGAACTTGTTGTCCGGTTACGATAATTAACTATCTTAGAAGTCTTAACTTATTTAAACACTTTGTCATTTCCTCGACCTAAAAAATAGAGAAATTAAAAAAATCCCAAAATATATAAATTATATAATTTATACACACAATTATTAATTATATGCAAAAAATTATATCAATTAACTTTTCGCCAGATACTCATTAACAAACACCTTTTCAACTCAAGCCCAATTTGCGCTACGAAAGTACCCATTAACAATAAACTAGAATTATTTTTTTTTTAACTGAGTAGAAAAATAAACCTCTGCTGTACCTCTGTAGTTGGTCACACAAAACATTAAATAATATAAGCTACATATGAATAATTTAATATAAATAAAATATATAACTATAATAATGATATAATATATGAAAAACTTTATTCTGTTTTTAAGTGTATTGTTCATATGAATATGGATTTTTGTTCTTATATATATCCATACTATTTTTCAGATCAACCTTTCTCTAACTTCTCTGACATACCTACCTCCCTCACACTTTAAAAAAAACGGTTTTTCTTAACGCAAAGAACAATAGCTGCTATAAAGTGATATATTCTCCTAATTACTGAGTATACATAATATATGTTTACAATTCTCCAGATTTAAATCTCTCTAGCTGACGGCATTTCACACTCTTTCCTCATATGAGGAGGTGAGAGCTGTTGAATATATTATTTATTCAGATATATCTCTTATATATATATATATATACAATTTACCATTAATGTGATAGGATATATATATTAGAAGTTTGTAGGAATAAGTATATCAAAGTTAAAGGATATTCCACTGAACAATAAATCCATTTTTATAACTAAAAATCGCTTTTTTCACATGCATTTCGCGAACTAACTATTATTGAACTAACTATTATAAGTGTAATATTGTATATAAAAAATAAATATAAAATAAATAAATAATATCGTAATTAATTGTTCAAATATTCAGTTAATTATACTAAATATATATATATACATATATATTATATTATAGTAATATATAATATGTATATAAATTAAAGTATATGTTTTAAACATAACTAAATTTAATAATAATTATAAATTTTTGTATCTTAAAATTTTTACAAAATTATTGTAAAAATTTAAAACACTCATTTAATCTGTTAACTTTTACAGACAATGTCATCCAAAACTAAATATACCGATTATGATGGAGAACCCGGCTGTCAAACGCTAGAAGAAGTTAACAAAATGTATCGAAATTATTGGGATCCTACTGCGTATTGGAAATGCGAATCTCAAGGTAAAGTTGCAAGCCGAGGTCGTTGTCCGACATCCGAATTATTTATGGATACGAAAGGCAAATGCGTGCACTATGCAGAGTGGCACTGGACTGAACCCACCATACCACCGAGTCGACCAAATAAATAAATCCAACTAAATGAAACTCCAAGTCTCATCAATTAAAATATATGCATGCACACATAAACATATCTACGAACTCAAATGATATATATATATATAATATAATACAATTTATTATAAACTAATAGGAGCATCAAAATTTATATATATAAGTTGTTAAAAATATACTTAAAATTCTACAATTTTTGAACTCAAAGGAAGAATTTAAATTGTTATAAATAATTACAACAAATTCATTTGTTAATAAAATAATTTATATGCATATTGCAAGCTTTATTGAGAATAAAAAAATTAGTTTTTATTACAAACTAATGAGTTTAATTAGAGATTTTAAATATTTTCCAACCAAGAATGTACCGAAAAAAAATTAATTATTATTATAAATATAAAATCTTAGAAAATTTAAAATTTTTGGAATGTTGCAAAAATTAATTAAACTTCATTTACTTCGATATCTTAATTTCCATTTAAATTTATCTACAACCACATAAGTCACATATCGATTCCCTTCACAAAATAAATAAATTATTGTATATTTAAATGAGAGTATTGTAAAAGTGAACTGATTCTTATTCAGATAAATTAATATATAGGTAAATTGATGACGTTTTATAGAGATCGGACTAAGGAATGTTATTAAATTGAGTTACTTTAGTATTTAATTACGTTTACATTATTTTTATCTTACAAAATTATTGCCATATTTCTTTTTAATAAAAATAAAATAAACTATAAATGCAGTTCACTCGAATGTGAAAAAATTCATTTGTGCTTCAAATTTTAAATGAAAAGAAAATGGAATTATTATTGCGGAATTATTTTTTTTACTACTAAACAATTTAGTAGAGCTTTTCAGTCACTCTTAAAATTAAATTAAACCTTCTTCCTTCGATCATGTCTTCGTTTATAACTCTACATGTTTCCCTTGCTTATTGATAATCTTCAATTTTTCCTGTTTTGGCGGTTTGGTGTCGGAAGCTACATCTTCCTTAACAGGCGCTGGTTCCTTAGGAGGAACTCGTTCCGTTGTTGTTTCGGGTTTAGGTGTCGTTGTTGTTGTTGGTTGCACTTTGGGCGGAGCTGCTGTGGTTGGTTTGGGTGTAGCAGGCTTTGGTGTGGTCGTTGTAGGCTTTGGTGTTGTTGTTGTAGTAGTAGTTGTAGTTGTTGGTTTTGGTGTTGTTGTTGTAGTTGTAGTCGTTGAAGGTTTTGGTGTAGTCGTTGTTGTAGTGGTAGTAGTTGTTGGCCTAGCAGTTGTTGTTGTTGTGGTAGTTGGTTTTGGTGTTGTTGTTGTGGTGGTGGTAGTTGGTTTTGGTGTTGTTGTCGTAGTTGTAGTTGTTGTTGTGGTCGAAGGTTTGCGGGTCGTTGTTGTTGTGGTTGTTGTAGAAGCAGTGCTTGGCGGTTTTACAGATGCCTCAAGTGTCGCACCTTCGTATCTCACATTTTTGACTTTTACAGTAGGTTGTTTAGCTGGTTTTGGTGACTTAACACGAGCCAAGTAACGATTAAAAGGTGAACCCAAATATAATTGATTATTAAATTCTAATACATGTGAAACAGCGCCAACAGATCCATCATTACCATGTAAAGAGCCTATAATGTTGCCATTCCAATCGACACGCAAAATTGTTGAACGTTTCGGTGACAATAATTGTACGCTTTCTCCATGACCAATGAAATGTACAAAACGTTGTAACAATTTATTTGGAAAATATTCGTTCAATGTACGGAAAGGTAATTCAAAAAGTTGTAGCATGCGTGCTAGGAAGAGACGTATGGTTGGGAATTGAGAAAATAGAACATATCCCGAGGGATGTTCACTATCAGCTGCAACTACTAATGGCACCCACAAGCCTTCAGCATCAGGTGTTATATTATCTGGATGGCCGGGTAAGCCTTCAACGAACACTTCATGTTGACCTTTTTTAGCACCCTTTAAATGGTATTTTGTCAAACGCAATCCTCCTGTTTCGACAACAACTATAAAATCTTCCTCTGGACTTAATGCAATGCCATTGGCAAAGAAAAGTTCATCAAGCAAAACTTCGCTTTCATTTGTACCACGATTATATTTGAAGAGACTGGAAGACACAAAAAGTATATAATATATTAATTAATAATGCAATCAGTATCACATTTTTAAGTAGATGAAAGGAGTGTATTACATGTCTAATCGATACACAAAATCTCGCCTAATGGAAGAACGCTTATCTGTTTAGGACTTCAAATGTAAATGGCTGTGAAGAGAACAATGAAGAGATTGTTTGAAAAGAATCCATGGTTTCACAATCCATACTATTCTTGTTGTTTAAACTCATGAGAACTTGAAGAATAGGATACATGAACGTATTACAAGAATAATAAGGAGGATAGGATGAAAAATTTGGGAAAGGGGAGAGGGTAAATTTTGTGTAATAAACGAGAGATGAGGTTGTGGACAGATGATAATTAAAAGTAGCCTAGATCGAGGTAGGGAACGTAGCTACTTCTATATGACGAGAACATTCACCAATAAGGTGAAAAGAAATGTGTGCATTTAGACAAATGAACAACTACATGAGCTATGCCATTAGGAGTAGAACTGCAATCGAAACACCTATTACAATATAGACCTAGTTACCACGTGGCTATATTCTGATCTCAATCAAGCTAGAACAGTTCTGGCTATACAAGGAAGGCGTTTTTCATCTGTTAAGAGACCATTTGAAGTTTCAAAATAAGCCGGGTCTACATCCAATAGACAATCATCGCCAATATAGACAGCAGACTAAGTGTCGACAGAGCACTTTTTGACATGACGACACAAGTCTAACCAACGGTAATATGAGCAGGATGCAGCTCACCTGCAGAACAGCCAAAGCTATACCATAATTATACCGGTAGCATATATTAAATTTAGTTGGGTCGAGTGGCAGTAATATCACTCATACTTCGTAAATAGATTCTTCTTTTGGAGTTCGGAAACCAAGTAAGCATATATCTATATGGATAAATAGTGCTAACATAGTTACATTAGTTAAAGCCTATTGTTTAGGAAAGTTTAAACGAATTACATGCTAATTACATTAATATATTATAACAGTCCCGTGTACGCATGTACTTAGGAAATTGTTTAGGCTTGGAACAACAAATGGATCTGATTTAAACGATATTGCAAATGAGACAATTCAGTTATAAACGGTAACATAACAAACGTTGGATGTAGAATCAATATGGTTAATATTGTTAAACAGATATTAGATGTACCCTTCACACAAGGGTTAAATTCTCCTTGCTTTCATCTGTTTATGAAGTCTTTTAAATTCACACCACACCATTTTAAAGCGTTTAAATAGCGTTATTACTCGATATATGATCCCATTGAATTTGATAAACAACATTCCGTTTATGGGCAACAAACGCTATACATGACTCATTATTTACGATTCAATTAATTTAACATCTTTTGTAAGTTTATGCAAATAATTTGTAAAAATAATTTATCTTATCTCTTCTAAAATATCTTCATTTGCAGATAATAGTGTTTAGTAAATACAGAAAAACTTACCGTCCAGACGGATTTGCAAAGGAAGTAAATACCAAATCCTCTAATTTAAAATCTGATGAGGAATCGGTCCAATAAATATCACCATTTTTAGCAACAGCTACACTATTAAACGTTTTTGCCTTGCGATTGATGTCTTTACCGGGCAGTTCTTGTTGTGGTGAAACTAAAAGTTTTCTCTTATTTGTATTAAGATCCACTGACCAAATGCCATAATATGCATCCGAAATAATCAAATTATTGCCTTGTGTGTCAAATGCCAAACCCAAAGGCCGACCACAACGTGATTCTTCAAAAATTTCTTCTGTAAAATATGATGACGTTATAGCCTAAAAGATATATGCAAATAATTTTGGGACACGTACCGCAAGGTTGTCCAAGCTTGACAACATGTGTAACATGCTCATTAGTTAGTTTAATAACTTCGCCACCATGTATACCAGTGTAAATCTCATTGTTACGTGCAATTAAACATTCAGGACCATAGACACGCCCATCCAATAAACGTTGTGCACCATCCAAATGTTGATTAGGCTCAAGTGCACCTTTTAGTTCTTTTGTAGGTGCAACACTATATAAATTTTCTTTTCTATTAGTATTAAAGTCAAATATTTAAAAAGAACTTACGTAAATTCTTTAAATGGAAAAGTGGTACGAGGTGGAAGACCAGGCAGAAGTACGATAAGCAGGAAAAATACCATAAAATTCATAAGCCTCACGCCTATGTTGTAGATTAGACCCATTTTTTAAATATTATATTTATTAAAAATTAAGAAAACAAAATTTATTTGAAAAGAAATTTCTATTCGCAGCACAACCAGACACGACTACAAAACCCAATTGTCTTTTCTTCTCTTCTCCTCTTCTCTTTCTATTGTATTTCACTTTGAACCGGTATTCTTTATCTTATTATTGCCTTCATCAGCCGAAATCAAAGTACAAAAGAAAATATGTGTTAATCTTACTCGGTAGTATTTTGACCCGAAATATAAATAAATATAGGTAATTACTACAAATGATTATGATAGATTCCACATATGTGGAAGCCGCACACGTGGGGTATGTTTAATAAAAGTTCTCATGAATTATGTAGTCCGCAGTTGAATTTCAGAGATTTATTATATTTTAAGTATTTAAAATAAACTTTAAATAAAAATATATATTTAAATGTTTCGACAATTCGTCAAATAAACCATAAATATAACATTTCAGACTTTTATTATTTTTGATATAACTATATGATAATTGTTTTTTCAATTATAATTTTTGACCTATATCAATTAACTAATAATAATTAAATATTGTTTCTTCGACTTTCAAATTTTTACAACAAATTATATTAATATTATTTTTAATTTCATAATAACGCTGTTCGCTAGTAGCTACAGCATATCCGAACTATTCGGATATCCGTTTTAGGCAATACAAATGTATAAAAATATAAAATGTATTGAAATATCTTCTCAATGAACAAAAACATAAATGTAATAATTTATATGCAATTATTTATTTAGTAGATACAAAAGGAATTGCCTCTAAAATTATCTGAATATCACAAAATACTTTGAAAAAGTATAAAAAGGACTCATATGAATAAATTCTATCTATGTTGGTTGAGATATACTTATGAAATCAAGCTATCATATACAGAAAAATATAATTATATCAACTTTATCTACCAATAAAGATTTCGAAAATAACAGTTAAGAATGTTGTTGCAAATTACTATAAATTTTTAATTTTTTTCGCTTCTGAAAATATTGTTCCTTTTTGCATCATTCACTCCAAATTGTGCATAGAGTCTGCAACGCTCTTTGGAATCCCATGCTGTTGGGTGCTATATACCTAAAGTGTTTCCAGATATAATTTCGTTGGTACGTTCAGTGTCATACTGTAAATATTGTGCTACTATAAATATCGTTATAAAATAAAGACTATTAGGGCTTATAAAATTTCAGTGTAAGCTTATAAAATATGTATCTAATGCAATCGCCACACTTTTTATAATTCTTATATTATATGAAAATCAATTACACACGAATTAATTATTTGAGTTTCGCTACAGCGCCTTTCACTCAACAATATTCATAATTTATTCAAATTTCTAATACTACTGCAATTCTCATAGCTGTGTATTAAGCTGTGTAGAGTTGAATAACCTTTAAATGATTTTTCAAATATAAAGTAAATAGAAAGTTTGTACTTTAGGAAATAAAAACAGTTGTCGAAATTGAGAGATAATTTTATTTTCGGAAATTGAAAGAATGCTTAAAATGCTAAAACTTTTTAAAAAAGTATTGAATGTTTGCACGATTTTCTATGTTCCTACCATTATCATTACAACAAATCATATTAAAATAATTTTAATGAAATAGAAAATATTTTTGATTTCATTTTATTTGTGAGTTAACAATTATATTAATTTTAAAGTTAACTAAGAATAAGACACTGGTAGTTCCTTTGCCTAGTAGAAATAGGAAATAATTCCAGCTAATACTACGATTAGGTATTTTTGCTAATGAAAACTTAGAACACTTCCTTCGTACGCTCAGGAAAACGGGCATGAACGAGTTACTTAAATTTTGTGTGCTTCTGATAAATAAATACCGATTCTTATGAATATGTAAAATTTATAAATATTTACTTAAGCATTTTAAATACATTCATCAAATAAGTATGACTTTCAAAAAAATTTTTTCATAGCTTTAGAACCTTTACAAATGCTGCGCCTATTATTTTTGAAACTTGCAAGTATTCAAGTCTATTTACCAAAGCCTCTACTAGAAATCTTTCTAGTATAAAAAAATACTTAATTTAAATATGTCGAACTTAATAAAGCATAGCACCACTGTAACTATTATACGACTACAGATATATAATTTATTTTGTCTTAATATGGAATACTATTTACACTAGATGGTTCGAAGTATTCCTCTAGTGAACACCTTTAGGTTCTAATTATAAATACATTTTTATGTTATAAAATTATTACATAAAATTAAAAATATATATTTTATGTCATCAGCACAAATAAAAAATAATA